TACTTTAAAATGTATTGATTAAAAATGAATAAACAGTGGAACTTTATTTCTGATTGTATCTTTAACCTGCTTGGTGTGGCCTTGGGACTAACAGATAAAATACCTGTGAAATTCTCTGCCTTTTATCATCATACTTTGTTAGCACAGAAATATTTAAGTTGTTAAATTATACCATATGATGAATCATTTAGACTTTTTCTGAAATTTTCTGTGATCCCTAATAAAATTCTCTTCTATTCTGTGCCATTCATTCTGGTGCTGTTTCTCTATATGTAACTTATTAACCTTACTTACTTTTACTTGCTCTTACTTTCAAAATGAATCAACCACCAAATCATATAGGCTACCATTATTTACTGGACCAAGTTTGTTGGTGATCTCAACTGGGAGAATGTTTGGTTATTATTATTATTATTTTAATTAAAAATGTTGTTACAAATGAAAAGACATTTGCATAATATTAAGATAATACATTCATGTTATCCTGTTAAATGCTTTCTTTATAAATTTAAAAGGACATTGATTTGACCTTCTCTTTTTGTTCTTTGAAAATGGAAACTACACAGTTTGCACCATCGTTTTCCACAATGTAGCTGTGAAAATACGGAAGGATAAGTCTGTGTTTATAGTTGACAAAATCATTTTGCCTTTTAAAAATGTTATCTTTCTTTAAAATATCATAACCACATTAAAAATGAGGCATTTTGAATTAATCGTACAATTCTATTAAATACATTTTAAATACACAAATGTAAATTTTTCCACAAAATACCATATGTCCTAGCTTTCAAAGAAGTATAAAACTTCGGGATGCACCGAATGCTCGGCAACCGAAATTATTCGGCCGAAAATAGCAAAAAAAAAGCTCTTTCGGTGTTAATAAGCGAAAAGACCGAATAAATGGTACCGAACAATGATAAGACGCGATCAAATAGCAACCAGTGCAGAGTGAGAGGCGCACTCTTTATTATGCAGCACACACACCAGCAGTGTGGAAGCACTTAAACTGTCGGAGAAAGACGCAACAATCATTACAAGCACCAACAGCGAGAGACTGTTTAGGACTGCATCGCATGTCTTCAATGAGAAGAGCAAGGGTGATTGTTGCTGGTTACTGTATGATGATTGAAATCGCCAAATGGCCTTAAACAATGAGTAAATAAACTGCAGAATGTTATGTGTTCTAACACACGCGCGCATTGCATGTATGGAAAGCCATATGGGTCATAATTCGCACGCTTTCCACCGCCGTATCGATATTAAAACGCCGTTAAATAAGCGCCGTTAGGCGATAAGTTAACGGCAGACGCCACCACGCGTTAAAATAACGCCACACGCCGACCGACGTTAAGTTAACGCCACACGCCACTTAAGATGCAGATTTATTTGCTCATCTACATGGACACACCTCTCATGGCTACAAGGACTCTACGGCAAGTCGGAGCATCCAGTTTGCAAGAGCGCGAAGATGGCAAGTACAGCCCTTACAATTCTAGATGTAGGGGGAAAATGCCCCTGAAAGGGGTCATTAATGATGCTTACATTATAGCATGTGCAAATTCACACACAAAATATTTATTTATTTATTTATTTAACTGTTGTATAAAATAATTTCCAAATTTGCACTCATTCATGACTCGTGTGATAACTTTATGAGACAAAAGCTCATTCAGGGGCATTTTCCCCCTACATCTAGAATTGTAAGGGCTGTACTTGCCATCTTCGCGCTCTTGCAAACTGGATGCTCCGACTTGCCGTAGAGTCCTTGTAGCCATGAGAGGTGTGTCCATGTAGATGAGCAAATAAATCTGCATCTTAAGTGGCGTGTGGCGTTAACTTAACGTCGGTCGGCGTGTGGCGTTATTTTAACGCGTGGTGGCGTCTGCCGTTAACTTATCGCCTAACGGCGCTTATTTAACGCCTGGCGGCGTTATGAAAACGGCGTTTTAATATCGATACGGCGGTGGAAAGCGTGCGAATTATGACCCATATGGCTTTCCATAGTTAACCAGGGTTCAAAGTCTAAAGCGCGAGGGAAATCTGAGCTGATACAGTCGTCAGTTGCTCAGTCACATTGTTATGAATTTTTACAAGGCATGTGACAATGCGATACGTACGACGTATTCGTAATGAGACTCATTTATAAATCTGTTGTCAACAAAAATAAGCACTGAGGTCTTCCTACGGTTTCCGCCTAAATAAAAGTTGAGAAAAAGCAAGAACTCTTATCAACATTCATAAATGTTAGTATTGTAATTTTACTGTTGTTCTGTAAAATAAAATAAAAAGTAAGACAATAATAATGATAATAATCATTACAACTGCTCTGTTTTAATAGTTATTATAACATTCACACATAGTGTTCAAATTAGGATCTGTAATATTTTCTAATGTTTTAAAAGAAGTGTCTTCTCAGCAAGGCTGCTTTTAATTGTACAGTAAAAAAAATATATAATAATACATGCCTGATTCAAGAAGGGGCCAAAAATTATTATTTTACTACCTTATTAATTTTAAGTTAAATTGTGCTTTGTTGGTATAGTGTCTGCTAGAATGTTACAAATGTTCAGTGTTAAATATTTTTAAGATGAGCAAATAAATCTGCATCTTAAGTGGCGTGTGGCGTTAACTTAACGTCGGTCGGCGTGTGGCGTTATTTTAACGCGTGGTGGCGTCTGCCGTTAACTTATCGCCTAACGGCGCTTATTTAACGCCTGGCGGCGTTATGAAAACGGCGTTTTAATATCGATACGGCGGTGGAAAGCGTGCGAATTATGACCCATATGGCTTTCCATAGTTAACCAGGGTTCAAAGTCTAAAGCGCGAGGGAAATCTGAGCTGATACAGTCGTCAGTTGCTCAGTCACATTTTATGAATTTTTACAAGGCATGTGACAATGCGATACGTACGACGTATTCGTAATGAGACTCATTTATAAATCTGTTGTCAACAAAAATAAGCACTGAGGTCTTCCTACGGTTTCCGCCTAAATAAAAGTTGAGAAAAAGCAAGAACTCTTATCAACATTCATAAATGTTAGTATTGTAATTTTACTGTTGTTTTGTAAAATAAAATAAAAAGTAAGACAATAATAATGATAATAATCATTACAACTGCTCTGTTTTAATAGTTATTATAACATTCACACATAGTGTTCAAATTAGGATCTGTAATATTTTCTAATGTTTTAAAAGAAGTGTCTTCTCAGCAAGGCTGCTTTTAATTGTACAGTAAAAAAAATATATAATAATACATGCCTGATTCAAGAAGGGGCCAAAAATTATTATTTTACTACCTTATTAATTTTAAGTTAAATTGTGCTTTGTTGGTATAGTGTCTGCTAGAATGTTACAAATGTTCAGTGTTAAATATTTTTAACTTGTTGTTTTGTAATTGAATTTTTTTTTCTTTGAAAAGCAAAACAAAACAGTAAAAATCACATTTTGGCTTTTTAATTTATGCAATGGTGGAAAATAAAATTTGCCAAAATTTTCAGCCAAGAATTTTCATTTCGGTGCATCCCTAATAAAACGATGTACCTGTTATTTAGCTTTGTAATAACAGGAGAGCTATAAAGTCTATTCATGTATAATCTATTGTTTTTAAGGTATTTGTATGATAATATCATGTTTTGTTTTTTTTAATAGCTATATGTTTTTAATATAAAAAAATTACTAGACAGTGGTTCATGATAGACATTACTGGTCGTACTGCAGAATTTGGTCACCTAATTAATAAAAGAGCCTATGATATGTATCTGTATTATGACATGTTCTATGGAGTTTTTACAGACATTATTAGGGTAGACAGCTCTGGTCACGTGACCATTAAGCACTCACGAACCAAAAAAGAAATCAAAACAATGTGCACTTTCACTGAGAGTTGACATCTCGGTTTAAACTACACGAAGACGACTACTTTTAGACTCTCTAAACTCAAAAGTTTCAGTCACAAATGTTACCGGTGGGAATAAATGAGTTTAAAACTAGCTCCATGTTTACATTTTCATTTCACGAGACTTTGTTTATGATTAGACACAGTTGTTCGCGTGAACACAACAAATGTAAAAACATTTGGAAGTCTGTTTGTAAAAGTCAGGCAGCCATTCGGGAACCATATTAACGCACTGCATATCTTGTCTAATACTTACATAAAATCGTTTGTTCAGAAGGTTCAGAATAGCGGAACACTTCGGTGGCGCCACGGGAGAGCAGAACAGCCAGCTGTGTTTATTGTGTTCAGCAGAGGGCGGCGCAAACCGGCTGAACCTACTGCACGCGGGTCAATTTACAATGGAACATTATCTGCTCTTTATATAAAGAACAGCTACAAAAGTGGGTGTAACACAGGCGATGGTGTTTATTCGATATGATGCACAAAATCGCACTATTAATAGTAGAACGTGGGCTAATTTATTGTAACTTTCATTTATAAAAAACATTATTCAGATGGTTAGGCTCTTATTTATGTTTTACTTCATTTTATAGTGATTGCTAATTACTAATTAAAGCTATTATAAAACATTACCAAGAGTTCTGTTCCTATCAGGCAAAATGACTTTAGAAGTTGCTACTGAGTGGAACCTCACCCCCATAAATTTATATTAGAAATCTAAACATATATAGTACATTTAAGATCCAGTTAAAGAAATGGCTCATTGATAATCAGAGCTGTCAACATTAGCTTACTACTAGACCTGTTGAGTTTTTTGCTTTGTGTGTGTATGTGTTCATGTATTTGTCTGATGTTTGTCTGTTGCATTTCTATTGTACATCATAGCTTAATAGTACTTTTTACTAAATGTATTGTAATTGTTTTATTGTTATGTTAATATGTAATTTTACTCTCTTTTAGGGTGACTATTACCATCTGTCTAGGGACTGCAGGTGAAAAATAGCCTTCTGGCTAATTCTGGCATATTGACAGAAATGTTTGTTAATATGCATTGTCCCTGTAATAAATAAATAAATAAATAAGTTCAAGTAACAAGACATGAATCTATATCATCTGATTTAAAAGGGTGTTCAAGAACATAATAGACCCTTGTGTCTAAAGTATGAGTGCTAGTAACATCTTCAATATGCAAGGAGTCACATCAACAGCCCTCTAAGATGATGGGTCAAAGAGACAATCTTCAGGTTGTCCTCATCGTCGCAAAATCCTCTGCAAGGCACAAAACACAGATGAAATATTTTCACAAGAAATGCTTTACAGTAGGAAGACAATTCAAGGTGCATGTCGTTTATGACTAAATCAGACAGTGGATTATTGTAAGGCATTGTTGTGTTTTATAACAATCTAGATCAGGGATGGGCAACTTCGGCCCTGGAGGGCCACTGTCCTGCAGAGCTTAGCTCCAACCCTAATCAGGTCTAGAGTATAAAGGTCAAAGGCTTCTATTTTACAATATTCCTACAGGAACAATATGACAGATATGTAAAGGCATGAATAGGAACAGATTTTCCCTTCCACCAGCTATTGGGGGGAAAGTACTGAACCATATGCAGCAAATTTCTTGCTGCTCAGCTTACTTAGTTACTTATTAAAGGCGGAAAAATCTCCAACCGTGTGATTCTTTCACAGGGACAGAGGCTCTCTGTACTTCTTTACAGCCTGTTTTTTTTGTGTGTGTGAAAATGTATACTTTTATTCAACAAGGATGCACATTAAATTAATTAAAAGTGACAATAAAGACTTTTACATAGTTTTTCAACATTTTCTATTTTAAATAATTGATGTTCTTTTGAACTTTCTGTTCATCAAATAATCCTGAAAAATGTATCACAGTTCCCACAAAATATTCAGCAGCACAACTGTTGTCAACACTGATAATAAGAAATGTTTCTTGAGCAAAAAAATCAGCATAGAATGATCGCTGAAGGATCATGTGATACTGAAGACTGGAGTAATGGCTCTGCTGAAAATTCAGCTTTGCCATCACAGGAATAAATTACATTTTAAAATATATTGAAATAGAAAACAGTCATTTTAATTTGTAATAATATTTCAGAATATTACTGTTTTTAGACTTGGTGAGCATGAAAGTTTTCTTTCGAAACAAAAACAGAAAAAAAAAAATCACCAACCACAAACTTCTGAATGGTAGTGTATATAGATGCATATATAATATATTATATTATTATTCACAATGAAACACAGTGTCTCCACGGCATGGCGGCGGCAGCAACAATACTACAGCAAGAATAAAATTTACACCTTCTTTTTTTGCGTGAACATTTGCGGCGGTGTTATGCAAATCTTCCCACATAGTGATGTAGACATGTGGGGGCGTGTTAGAACGAGCCGTTTTAGGTAGGCGTGTTTGACTCTCAACTTTTATAAAGAATATCTCTTTGGATTTGAGATTTTAGTCTTTGCAACTTTACAGATCTTCTTTATGCACCAAGAGTTTGTAACACTCCAAAGAGGAAGGAAAATTTGAAATAGCATCATATGACCCCTTTAAGTCAAGTCAAGTCACCTTTATTTATATAGCGCTTTTAACAATACAGATTGTGACAAAGCAACTGAACAGCATTAATTAGGAAAATAGTGTCAATAATGCAAAATGACAATAGTAAACACTCATTTTTCAGTTAAAGACAGTTCATCATTGAATTCAGTGATGTCAACATCCAGCTCAGTACAGTTTAAATAATATCTTTGCAATCAAGTCAACGATATCGCTGGAAATGAAGTGTCCCCAACTAAGCAAGCCAGAGGCGACAGCGGCAAGGAAACAAAACTCCATCGGTGACAGAATGGAGAAAAAAAACTTGGGAGAAACCAGGCTCAGTCGGGAGGCCAGTTCTCCTCTGAATATTACCAAGTGGCAACATGTATATCGAAAATAGCAGAGGACCTAGGACAGATCCTTGTGGCACTCCATGTTTTACTGGTTTAACTGTTTTTAGTCTAGTAGTAAACTTAAATCCTTTTAGGAATTGCAGGTCCTAGCCACAGAAACCATAATAATGATAAATAATAAACCATAGTAATGAGCTTAAACAACTTTACACATTTACAATTACTTAGTATATTATTATTTACTATTACTCTACTAGGTCTGAAATAGGTCTATATATTGTACGTTTTAATCCCCTGGAACACACTACAAACTTGATGATCTAAATTATAACATGATGCATCGCTGTGTCTCTGTCATAATTAATTAATTAAACAATTTTGGAGGAAGTGGCTGTATATGTTTGTTTTTTTTTACATAAAAAGTTTTTTGTTTACAGTCTTCCTTTAACGGACATTAATATAGGACAATACAGCAAAAAAAAAACAGTTTACTGTCAAGCTGTTATATTCCTGTTATATATTTATTGTCCAACATTCCTAATTTTTCTGTCATTAATTTAATTTCATATGTTGGTATTAATTCAGTGGTTATAATGATAACACTAGAACTTAAAATATTTTCAATATTTTATGGTTTCTTGAGAGCAAAAGTTTTTGTGAAAAAAGCGAAGACTTTAAAATAAAGTCTGTAAAATAAATTGTTAAAAGGATTTGATGATCACTAGTCTAGTGATTGTACGTTATTGTTGTCATCGTTCAGGCTGTATTTCGGCTTTAATGTATGTTTTTTTATACAAAGCAGCTGATATTTGCCATAGCGACAGCTAGAAGCTAGTGGACTGCTTTCGCTTTCACTCCAGAATAGTGGAAGCGCAGGGCTGCTGCTGGGCGCCGCTGTTGCAATGGAACGTTCTACAGAGTTTTGCCTCTTGGTCTTCTATACTCTTTGCTTTCACTTCGTCAGTATAAGTTTTTTGGTCGGGGTCATTGGTGGTCTTCTTCTTCTTCTTCTGTTTTATGGCGGATAGACTACATTGATATATACCGCCGCCTGCTGGACTAGTGAGATCAGCAGGTAGAAATATCCTTTTGAAAACCGATCTATTGCATTTTGACATAATTTACATTTACATACACAAGCTGGCATTTGAGTATGGCTTGTGAAGGAGAATACTAAACAAATCTTGTGAATCTACTGAACAAATCTGTGTTTGGAGCCTGAAACAATGAATATTGTTTGTGAAGGAGCATGCATATGCACAAACATATTGTTGTTCACAATTTGAAGAATTAATTAATTGTAATATTATTTAATTAATTCTGTTTTAACCTGTGTCTTGACTTTGTAATTGCAGATGCCAATAATGAACTGAAACTTGAGGTTGTGAACAAGAAATATGGAGAGGCTGAAAAGGAAGAAAAAGGTAAGCCAAAATTCTGGTAGGTTCTAGCAGGATTTATTTAGTGATCCTCAATCATTAATGACTACTCACTTGGTTGGATTTTTCTCCCATTATAATCTATCATTTCATCCCATTCTCACTGTTATGTACAGTCATCTTGCCCAGCTGTGCAGCATTTTACCCTATCTTACCATATATCTGATGCATATATTATTGTATATATCATGGTACATGAATATGGTAATCACTTAGTTCTATGATATATATCAAAGTACCATGTATTTTCATATGATACCTTCCTGTTTTCAAATGTATGATATGCAACATAATTGCACTAGAAACAGAGGAAACTGCTCAAGCTGGATTATGTTGTGACATAATGACTTTATTAACGACAAAAAAAGTACAATTTACCATTGTTTTTAGACATGGTATAAGTAAAATCATGTTTATTATTTGGTTATTACCTTTATGCTTTCACGTCTCATGATACTTACCATATTTTGATCTAAATTCAGTTTATTGACTCTTTAGACAAAATATGCAAACTTTTGTTTTTAGATATTTGTTGAGAATCATATTATCAGGCTTTTATGGCTCATATAGTATGATAGGAGAATTTGGATATCATCCTCTAGGAGGAAAAAAAACACCTCTGTTTAATTCAGAGGCCCAAACTAAGCAAAAATATAGAATTTGTATGGCCAAAAGTAAAATTAAATTCTGATAGCTTGTATTGTAAATCAATGAGATTTTAATATCAGTATAGCAGACTACTTACATAAAATACATATAAATATAAGTTTTCACTCTGTATCTCCCACACTCTAAAAAATGCTGGGTTAAATACAACCCAGTGCTGGGTAAAATAGGGACAAACCCAGCAATTGGGCTGTTTTGACCCAGCGGTTGGGTTACTACCAGAAGGTTGGGTTAAACATTTAACCCAACCGCTGGGTCAAAACAGCCCAATTGCTGGGTTTGTCCCTATTTTACCCAGCACTAGGTTGTATTTAACCCAGCATTTTTTAGAGTGCAATAATATGTCTTAGTAAGATGATATTTAAATGCTTAGTTTTATGATCAAATCTCTGTAGTTTTATGTAGTTTAACAATTTCTTGTTGATAATTTAGAGGACTATGAAATGTGAGTATCAAATATTATACAGTACAGACTTTATAGTATTAATGAGAGGCTTATTTATGAATTATTGCATTTAAGAGGTAGGCCAGAATTCCCATTAAATCACAAAAGGAATTCTTGACCACAACAGCCAATGGAAACTGACTTCTCCAACGCTAAGTGATCATAAAGTGACGTTAGAGAAGGATCCACCTGTGTCTGGATTGGAACCTCAATAAATCTTTTAGTTTGATGCCTCACATGGATATGTGAAAGGCATGTTAAGACACGAGTCACTCGGCATGTGGCTTTTTAGCAATAACAGCAGTCATGTATGTTATTGTTTATAGCATTATCCCCATACAGTATATCTTGCAATCAAAACTTCTGGGGATGCTGCACTACAAAAATGATTTGATAATAGTTAATAATAATAATAATTCATGCATTTAGCAGACACTTTTATCCAAAGCGACTTACAGTGCATTCAGGCTATACATTTTTTACCAGTATGCAATTTCTTACTCTGTATTTATGTCTTGTTTTCCTGTACAAATACCAAATATTTCTTAAAGATATTATCTGCAACATTTATCAAAGATAAGTGAGTTTAAGCTAAAATAAGAAAGAAAAAAAACTGTTGATGGGGTAATTAAGGAAAATAAACTTAATTCAAAAACAAAACAAAACAATTGTTCTTACCCAGTTCATAGATACTTTCTTGTTTTAACCATAAACTGACTTAATTTTAATAGTTTTTTTTTCTCAGAAAACAAAACCTAATATCTTAATTATCTTAATATCTTAAGTAATTTTCCTGCTGAGGTAAATGTATCTTAATTTCTGAATGTTTAGATATTTTAAATGGAAAACGACAAAAATACTAAGGAAGAAAATCATCTTTGCAGTTTGTTTTACCACCAGAGGATGCCAATGAGGCCTTTATTGACAAGAGGGAACAATTTTGTTTCTATTTGTGTGTTCATACAGGCAGCCGCCGCCAGGGAAAGCACCAAGAGCTGTCATATTGTTTTTGTGCTATTAACAATAAATTAGCACTCGAGTCTAGCATTCTATGTAATTATCACGCTTATGTATTTGTTCAACATTATGAACATTTCAAGAGCGTGTTTTTCATGCTCGTAATAGGTATAATTAGCCTTACTACTTAATTTCTTTCTTTCTTTCTTTCGTAATTGCTTATTAAAACGGTATTCTGGTGGAAAATTAAAAATGTTCGCATTTGTATACTCTTGCAGAGCTTATAGGCTCTGTGTTGCGAGCGGGACTATCTTTCGCGGAGGGCGACGCACTCGCCTGCGCGGAGGAACACGTTATGATGCTCTTCTCCTGTGAGAGGTCTCTGTCATTGTAAATGCAGCGAGCTGTGATCATGGTCAACATCTCCGAACGAACTGAAGATAAACTTTAAATCCCCTTCACATAACGGATCGTGCTTTTAACGCCTTTCCCTGCGTTTCTCAAAACGCATTCTATGTAATTATCACGCTTATGTATTTGTTCAACATTATGAACATTTCAAGAGCGTGTTTTTCATGCTCGTAATAGGTATAATTAGCCTTACTACTTAATTTCTTTCTTTCTTTCGTAATTGCTTATTAAAACGGTATTCTGGTGGAAAATTAAAAATGTTCGCATTTGTATACTCTTGCAGAGCTTATAGGCTCTGTGTTGCGAGCGGGACTATCTTTCGCGGAGGGCGACGCACTCGCCTGCGCGGAGGAACACGTTATGATGCTCTTCTCCTGTGAGAGGTCTCTGTCATTGTAAATGCAGCAAGCTGTGATCATGGTCAACATCTCCGAACGAACTGAAGATAAACTTTAAATCCCCTTCACATAACGGATCGTGCTTTTAACGCCTTTCCCTGCGTTTCTCAAACGTGAACCACTGATGTTTTCCTGCTTTGTCCCGCGAGATCGAAAGCAGGACAGAGGGGTGAACTGAAGAAATGGTGTACCCGGCTATCATATGGATTTGAAGGAGAGTACCATATTTTTGCAGAAGGACAGATGACTATTGCATTAAACGCATCGGAACGGTGCTGGATCGCGTTTTTACCCTTATTTCTTTGTGAACTGACCTGCCATTATATAAGCGGCACCGCTTGTCTATATGTAAAATAGATGTAGAACATTTCTAGATATTATTTATTGCGATTTATCTGCTGCGTTGTAATTGTAAATACTGCTGGATTTTCTCTGGCTGTCATTTTGGCCAGCTCGCGATGGGAAACTCAATGACCCACCGCGCCGTTATCGAGTTAACGAGGCACTATTACAGTAAGGGAGAGAGGGCGTTTGCAGCCGCGCTCTTTCCTTTCAGACTGAACTGACATCATGTAGCTTGGGAACGATATATGTTTGAGTTTGATTACTAGCTATTTCATCCAGCTATTTTGCGAAATGTCTTGTTAACTGGGTCAGAGAGCGACAGCGGAACTAGTTAGGTGCATCCTGCGCATCTAGCTAGTAAACTTCATACTTAGCCATTCCTTTGTTTTGATTCTGACTTCGTCTTGGTTTTAGGCCAGGCAGCTGTTAGAAAACTCTCAAGTGTACTAAATCGCCTGGTAATTTGGCGATGACAGGGTTCTCGGACAGACCCAGACAGTCTGGATTAACGAGAGTTTGAAGAACTTGTCCCTGACAGCCTCTCCATCACAAGCTGTTGTGTATCACCGGACACCTGCCAAAAAACAAAAATTAAAAATGGAGACGGTGGGAGACTTTGAATACAGCCGAAAAGACCTCGTCGGACACGGAGCCTTTGCGGTCGTCTTCAAGGGAAGACATAAAAAGGTAAATAATCACATGACTGGCTAGAACCCTTGCGGCTGAGCATCATTATTCACTGCAAATCTTGGGCCATGCGTGTTAAATGCATCTAGTTTCTCCGATTTGCATCGCAGTTAAAGTAAGGCATTCAAATTTCTAATTTACGTGGATTAAATGCATGTTAATATAGATTTGTGTAGTGCATGCATTGTGCTTTTGCACATCTTACGTGAGATCTCTCGATCATAGCCGTTCTTGATTAGAAACCGTGGGTTGTTTTTATGTAACGTGTGCTAGAATAGGTCACATACTGCTGGAGTCATTCATTCATAAAACAGCCTCCGTCAATAAGCCGTCTGACGTCAATAGGACTGACCGGTCTACTTGTACGTTTGGACGGAGGGACAGGACATTTTATTATGGATTTTTGTGCTTGATTTTGACACCACCTAAATACCCAAAACACATTCACTGGATGTTATGAGAAAAAGGCAAGCTGCTTAAACATTATTGCATTAAACTAACTAGTATCTATTTTTGATACGAGTGTTTTTAAATTACCAGTCCAATAGTGATTAGAATCTTTTCATCATTTTCAGTACCTAGTATGTATTCTAATAGTGAAATTTACTCAAAACTATTGGCATAAATACTATGTCTTGAATTCACAAGCTGGAATAGATACTAGTAACTGTTGGGATTTGAATTAGAGTCTTTGGTTTTGGAGAAGTCCAACATATGTCAACAGAGAGAAGCCTGTTGTTTCGCTGCGAGATTAATTTCCACTACACACTGACTTTAACAGCATTGAAACTCTGTAGAATGTAGAATAATGAAAACCAGGGATCAAAGCATTTGTACAGTTTAAAAAAAAGGTTAAAGGGTTAGTTCACCCAAAAATGAAAATTAGCCCATACATTACTCACCCTCGAGTCATCCTAGGTGTATATGACTTTCTTCTTTCAGACGAATCCAGTCGGAGTTATATTAAAAATGGTCTTTGATCTTTCAAGCTGTTTAATGCCACTCAGCAGGTGTTGCATGCATCAGTCCAAAATAAGTTAAATAAAAAGTGCCCATCCATTTAAAAAAAAGTGTCTCACACGGCTCCGGGGGGTGAACAAAGGCCTCCTGTAGCGAATCTGTAAGAAAAATATCCATATTCAAAACGTAATAATAACTTTAATGTAAAGACTTGCGCCAACAGTTGTACACGGAAGCAGCTCCGGGCTGATGATGTATGAGGTCAGCGCTAATTTTCATTTTTGGGTGAACTAACCATTTAGCTGTTCAGTTCTGTTGAAATATCTATCAGATCAGGTCTAATCAGATCAAATGCTAATATTGACCCATACCTCTATGGTCAATGATTTATTGTGCATCTGTAGATCATTACAGTTGGCTATCTTTGCATGCTGCATATACTGTATGTTTGTGTGTGGAAATGCTCAGTGTATGCACAGTATGTAGTACAATATCATCCTGTGACTATATATAGCAGGAGTAATCTGATACATATTTATGATCACCTACCTCATCCAAAGCAGGTGACTCAATACTCCCAGTTATTTTCATCCTACAAACATATTACAGTGTTCATCATCACACATGCTTATGATCGCAGATTGATGCATTCTAGTTGTGAAGATGATGTCAAACATGCAGAATGACACAAGACATACAGTTGGTATAGAAAAGAATCACCCCCCCCCCTTTAAAATAATCACATTTGGTTGCTTTTCAGTCTGAAATGAAGACGGACACAGTTTCTGTTTTGTCTAGCTGCATTTACTCAGTGCAACTTATAACATCCAAGTGAAAGATATAACACCAACATGTCAGAAAAAAACAAAACAAAAACAGAATCACTGAGTTGGAAAAAGGATCACCCCCTTGTGTCAGTATTTTGTTGAACCACTTTTTGCTTTAATTATAGCCTTTAGTCTACTAACTTTGCACATCTAGACTTTGCAATATTTGCCCACTCTTCTTTGCAGAACTGCTCAAGTTCAGTTAAATTTGATGGTGAGCGTTTGAGGACTGCAGTCTTCAAGTCATTCCACAGGTTTTCAGTGGGGTTTAAGTCTGGGCTCTGACTAGGCCATGCAACACTGTGTGCTCAGTTTTGCTGTGTGCTTTGGCTCATTGTCATGTTGGAAGGTAAATCTTCTTCCCATTGACAACTTTCTGGCAGAGGGCAGCAGATTTTCCTCAAGAATTTGACGGTATTTTGCCCCATCCATTTTTTCTTCTATCCTGACAAGTGCTCCAGTCGCTGCTGCAGAGAAACACCCCATAACAGGATATTACCCACTCCATGCTTTACTGGAGGAATGCTGTTATTTGGATGGTGAGCTCAGTCATGACTGCATGTGGACTTTCTTGAGGAGTGGCTTTTTTTCTTGCAACCCTCCCATACAAGCCAAATTTGTGGAGAATTTGTGATATTGTTGTCACATGCACACAATGACCACTCTTTGTCATAAATTCCTGCAACTGGTTCAGAGTTGCTGTAGGCCTCTTGGTCGCCTCTCTGACCAGTTTCCTCCTGGCTCTTTCATCCAGTTTGGAGTGACGTCCTGATTCAGGGAGGATCTGTGTTGTACCAAATACCTTCCACTTCTTAATAATAGACTTCACTGTGCTTCTAGGAAAGCTTTCCAGGAAAGCTCTTTTCATGCTGAGCTAATCACCATTATTTTTTTTTCTGACATGTTGGTGTTATATCTTTCACTTGGATGAGTAAATACAGCTGAATTAAACAAAATCTGTGTCCGTCTTCATTTCAGACTGCAAAGCATAAAAATTTGATTATTTTAAATGCATTGAATGCATATCTTTTCTATACCCACTGTAAATTAGCTGCATATATAGGACATTTATGTTGTGCATTCAGTCTCTCATTCCTTGATTAGATGTTATATTAAAAGCAGAGACTTTGAATGGTCATATTGAATAGCGCCAGTATAGAAGCCAACAGCATTTTCTCTGGGTTGCCTTCACCACACTTGGCTGAGTCGGTTTTCAATGAGGCGAGATGAGCGCAGCCGCTGTTGCATGCTGCCAGCACTTGGCTATAGCACAGTGTGCCGCAGGAACATCTCCTATTAACCTACATTTACATGAAAAGCATCGTTCTATTCATGGATTTCCACTTTGCATTGGGGACTCAGTTTATTTAAGCTGGTGTGTGGCCCTAAGGAATCCCACCTTACACAAGTGCCTCTCCCAAAGGCTAAAATCCCAATTATACTCTCCTCTTTATGTGGTACCAGGTCACAACTTCAGAAATAGATGCAGAATGACTGCAGCATGCTGAAGAGAATGGCCTTTTGAAGCAAATGTTAGTATGTCTTCAACCAAAGACTCCCACATACAGGAATAAACATTCAGATATTTCAACTCAAATGCTCAAAATTGTAAAAGTAAATGCTTTGTAGGATTCATAGTAATGTAATTAGGCACATGTAACCCCCCTCTGCCATCCCGCCTAATGATAATTGCTCTCTTTGTATAATATTTGCAGAAGACTGATTGGGAGGTCGCCATCAAGAGTATTAACAAAAAGAATCTCTCCAAATCTCAGATTCTGCTTGGCAAAGAAATCAAAATTTTAAAGGTGAGTTGTTCTTTATTTTTATTTTTTAAAGGAATTAATACTTAAAGGAAATACTTTTTTATTAATAATAATTTGTAAAAGTGACAACAAAAACATTTATAATGTTACAAAATATATCTATTATTTTTTTTTACTTCCTATTCATCAAAGAATCCAGAATCAAAAATGTGTCACAATTTCCACAAAAATATTAAGCTGTTTAAACAGTTTATTACTATAAATAATAAATGTTTATTGAGCACCAAATCAGCATATAATAATGATTTATTAAAAAGCATGTGACACTGAAGACTGGAGTAATGGCTGCTGAAAATTCAGCTTTGCCATCACAGGAATAAATTAAATTTTAAGGTATTTTAAGGGTTAATAATATTTAATAATATTACTACTTTAAAACAGTTTTTTGATCAAATAAATGCAGCCTTGGTGAGCATTAGAGACCTCTTTTAAAAACGTTAAAAAAAAACTAAACCCAAACTTTTGAACATAGTGTGTTATTTTTACAATTATTATTTATAATATTTGCAATATTTAAAGTTTTATATTATGTATATGTCTTATATTATTATATTATTATATTTATTTTATTATTATACTATTTGTTATAATGCCACAATATTTATAGACAGCGGGTTTTTTTTGTTTACAGGAACTCCAACATGAGAACATTGTGGCGCTCTATGATGTCCAGGTAATGGCACTTTTACTCATTTATTGTTATAATCTCTGAATGCTTTGTCCCCAAAAACTCTGAGCAGAGATCCCTAGAGCGGTTAGTGCTGTGCTACTATCCACTAAGAGCTGTGAGGGCCTGCGGGACTGGCCCAGTTCTTATATAACACCACCATTCACATGACCTATCCTAGACTAAGCCTCGCTGTACATTGCATGACCTCTCTTTGAGAATATCGCACACATTTTTCTCTATCTATTTCTCAGGAAATAAGATAATTTTGCAGCATCCTTTGGGCTGAATGCTGCATAATATGCAGAAAATGTCAGAAGTCAGCCCGTTTTGTTAGCAAGCTAATTCATCCATCAATACCCAGCCTTCTTACTTTTTGCATCCCTCCAGCAGGCTCAGATAGAGGGAGGGTTTGCCTCCTCTGGAATAGTGTGGGCTGTTTAAGCGCCATTTCATTGGCCCAACCCCTCGGCTGACAGAGCAGGCACTGTTCTGAAAGGACGTTTAATGTATACGGCAGGATCAAGGGCGAAAAGCTGTGGGTTTAATTATGGCTGTTATGATTCAGTCACCTATACACCTTTGACATGTAATGCTTCCCAGTATAGTGAAGAGAGTCATTAAATATCCTGCTCTTCCCACGCAGAAAGCTTATATAACACTTCCGCTCGACACAGACCTGCAGGACCCCTCATCCTTCAGTTAAGCATCAGTTTTTGTGCTGAACGCTGCAAGATTTTTGGTCCACTCCAGGAAGACACTCGAGAAGAAGAGTGATTTCATGTGTAATTGATCTCTCCTGCAAGGGCAGATAGGTCTGAGTGCACTACAAGCTGTTTACATTCATCTCACTGATCTTTCGTGAAGATACACTGTTTATCTCCATTGAAGGACTTTTTTTAGTTGGTGTGAGAAGTTATAGTATTTTGTCTCAGCTGTGACAATACCAAACTCTGTCCCACTAGGCCCGAGGTGTGTTTTTCCTCCCTCTGCTGAAATGAAGAAGTAGGTGTCAGTGGTGATGTACTGTAGCTGTTCATCAGCTGTTTTTGGAGACTCACATGCAGTGTCGCTCATTCCGTCAGGCGACCATAAATACATTTGTGCAACACTGAGATCTGCTTCCTGTTCTCTCCTGCTTTCTAAATCACGTGGTCAGTTCATCTTAATTTACCCTGGAAGATTCAATTCATTCCACCCCACCATATTTCAGCTGTTCTTCTGCCAGGAAAAGACACAGATATCTGAATCAAAACATCACTCACATGGGCTTGTGCAGGGAGCCATTTTAATACTATTTAGATCAGAAATGATATGAGGCCATGAACATAACCTACATACTAGTTAATGCAAGCACACATTGCCACAAGGTGCTCTATAGTTGGCATTTAATGACAAAATTAACATGTCATAATATACTATTTTATCTAAATTAAAAATAAAAACCAGCATATGAATAAAAAAAGAAATGGTACAAGATATACATATAATGTATATTATGAAAATGCATATTTTTATTTTATAAAGATTACATTTAAAAGTGTTATTAAATTATTAGTGTTTTTAAATGTTAAGTGAGCGTTAGATGATGTAATGATTTAAATCTCATTATAAATATCCAATAACCAATATGTTACCTATATACATGTAGATATATAGATACACATCCATGCAATATTAAGCATTTATAGAAAGATAGATACGTGGTACTGATACATATATATAATATATAGATATATAATGTAAGGCTTTTATATATATATATATATATATATATATATATATACAGTGGGTACGGAAAGTATTCAGACCCCCTTAAATTTTTCACTCTTTGTTATATTGTTATATTTTGCTAAAATCATTTAAGTTATTTTTTTTTCCTCATTAATGTACACACAGCACCCCATATTGACAGAAAAACACAGAATTGTTGACATTTTTGCAGATTTATTAAAAAAGAAAAACTGAAATATCACATGGTCCTAAGTATTCAGACCCTTTGCTCAGTATTTAGTAGAAGCACCCTTTTGAACTAATACAGCCATGAGTCTTTTTGCTTCAGTCTGGCTTCAGTCTGGCACTTTTTTAGTCAGTGAAAAGGAAAACAGAATAATTTTTCAGTTTATACTACTTGTTATTATAAAAAAATTTTGTATAATAGCTGCAATTATACTAAATACTTTTCCAATTATACCGAAGTACTTAATTCCCCAGCGGCAGTCGCGTTCTTCTTTGTGGCGTTCTTGTTTAATGCTTGCAAAATTAGTTTGGATGTCTAACTAATATAGTTATTCCTCCTTGATTTAATGAACTCACTATCACTTTGCAGATCTGTCTCTCTCACAATAGTAAGACACTGTAAATACAAAGCAAGTGGATACCTGCTTGATTGCTCCTCAAATGAAATAAATGGCTGTTTACCTCAGCGGGTACAGAGAGCGGTATACTACAGAAGAACATGACCTTTCTTCAGCACACTTCTCCTGATGGCAGCACGGAGCCCTGGGGAATATCGATGGTGCTCCCTTCCGAGCCCAATTACGCTACCGTGGACTGTTTACAATCCACTGTCATTAAAGATGTTAGGAGGAAATATATTGGGGTTTTTTACCCAGCCAGAGGTGTCTAGTTAAAGCATAGCAACAGGGAGCACTTGCCCTTTCATATTTAAGCTGTGCTGAGAGAGGTGACCCTCAGATCCCACTACGCTACATGGAGCATATGCAGTGCAGTAGCGCTACAGGCCAGACCTGCAGCTCCAATAACGATCTCATCCCACATGATAAAGAAGTGTGAATGGATGCTGCTTGTGATTAATGCCAACGTCAGTGCCAGTTCACACATGCATGCTTGCTTAGAGCGCCTACACATAATGTTGAAGCGTTATTGAGCTTTTCCTCAATGGGGATCTGTACTGATGGAGCTGAAGATATCTCTGCAGCCGTTTTAATTACAGGCTTGCAGCGAGAGCTGAGCAGCTCCAGTCGAGCGCTATTCAGCGATGTCCCTGCTCTGACAGAGGGAGGCTGGAGACCTGCTGTAATAACAGGGTGGTGATTCTTCATCTGCCTGACATGGGTGTGCTTGTGCTTTGCCTTTGAAGGGATAGGTCACCCAAATACTCACCCTCGTGTAGGGCTGCACAGTTAATCAAAATAAAAACAAAAATGCGATATGAATTTGTGCTATTATGAAATCGCAAAGGCTACAATTTAATTAAAGAAATACGTATATGTCCTGCATGTTTCAGAATAAAGCATGCCACTGTTTTTTACATGCAAACAGCTGATGATCCGGTGTTTTCAGTGCTTCAGAGCAGATCAGTTTGTAATAAATGCTGCTCCACATGAGTTTATCTCTGAATGTATAAGTGTACCTCGCTTATATTGCACTGTGGAATGCAACATGCACCAACCAGTACTTTTAAGCTGGCTGTTGCCAACAAAAGAGAAACTTTCTTAAATATTCTCTGTTTTATTTTTTACAGTAGTTTTTAAATATTACAACAGTAATATTTCTTATGTAGTTTAATTTTTTTTTTTTTTTTTTTTTAGCTTCAGGTTTGCTGTGCTTGTTTGTAGGGCTGCACAATTCAGCTAAATTTGTTTTGATTATATATCAACATGACTATAATATAATAACAACAGGAACAACCAGAAAAAATATTATTGCTATTATTTTATAGTCATATTGATAGAAAATATAAATTTTGGAAAATCTTAATATTAACTTAAAAAATGCTTTTTAATTCTCATTTGCAATTTTTATGAGAATTTTTTTTTTCTTTTTCCCGATATTGTGCAGCCCTACCCTCACCCTTCTGACATTCTGAACCTTTGTTTTCTTTGTTTTCTTTATGTTTTGCAATGAAAGTCAGTGGGGTCCAGTGTTGTTTTGGACACCACACATTTTCATTGTATGGACAAAATCAGTTGAAACACTCTTAAAACTGCCCCTAGAAGAAACAGAGAAGTGCTGTTCAGATGTGCAAAAAGCATGTACATTTGTAAGGAGAGGGAAATTGATAAGGAAATAAAAGGGATGTAAAGATTCTGGCTATTTGGAAACATAAAGTGGGAGGGGGCAGTGGGTGGAGTTTTGAGGTTGGGTGGGAGGAGTCAGACTTGTTTATGAGTTACATATGCATGAGACAGTTGAATATGTCAAAACAAATCTTGAACTTCCTGTTAGAGAACAGCGTGTCCCAGTGGAGGATGGATTGACTTGTTGTCTTCAGTTTTCTGAGAAGGAGGGGATGGATGATTTCAAATGAAGACAATGAGCAGTGAGTGTTGTGTGCAAGGAAAGAAAGAAATACAGCCTGGGAACATCTGGAACCTGTTAATGATTTCATTGAGAGCTGCCTGCAGGAACTATTAACTGTTCAGCTAATAAGTTGTGTTCACAATGTAGAATAATACTTTTTGCCATTTAGCGATTAATCCATTAATTCACCTAATAGTGTAGTGGTGCTCTCTAAATGTCCGCCCTCATTTCTTTCCACCAACCCACCAACATGTCAACAAGTGTAGGTTGTCTGTTTATTTACCAGCCCTTCATGGGCTGTAGACCCAAGAAAATATGTTTTTTTGTGTCTTTATCTCTTTCTTTATCTTAAAACTGTAAGGTTCATGGCCTTGCCCCTGGCAATATGATGTGCTGTTGTTCTTCACTGCCTGTTCCTTCTGATAACCATCATCTAGTGCAGTGTTTCCCAACCGGGGTGCCGCAGCACCCTGGGGTGCCGTCTGTCGAGAGCAGGGGTGCCGTGTAAAAAAATCATTTTTTAATATTTTTAAATTGCTAAAATGTTCAAAAAAGCATCTATTGTATAATATCCATTTCTGATGTCGCCAATAATTAGAGAGGCACTGAAATGTCGGCTGCTGAAAATTAGTTCACCGCTCAGGTTTCACTTTCATGTGGTGTGACGCTCTGCGTATTATCCCGCTCTATGCGTGTGCACTCCGCTCAGTCGCTCCACTCGTATACCGTTCATGCTCATCGGAACAGCAAAGTCCACTCAAAAATTGAGCCGACAGGAAACATCGATGTAGTACAGTATTGTTTCTGTCTGCAATAGCCCTACTGTGTTGTAACATGGTGTGGTATATGGGCAACTAAATCTGCCCTCTCATTCATTGATCTGCTAACCGCTATGTTGTGCTCGCGTGTTCTGATAATAATAGCTTTCTAGGACTAAACATTATTTGGATAATTGGTTAAAAAAAAAGTTAAATATCTTAACCCTACTGTTAGACCTACCTGAAAAACTAAAAAGCAATTTATTTAATTCGAAGACCTGTCGTTATTTTTTATTTGTGCTATCATTATTAATTTCTTTATTTGTTCTTATTTTATTACTGACTGCTTACTTGTCATTTTTGATTCAATTCAAAGTTTGAAATCAAGCTATCTCGTGCTACTGCACCACAATTACCCCACTGTAAAATTTAAAAAACACTGAGTGAGCAAAAATTTGTGAGATAGCTAGTTATAATGGTAATTAAATAATGTTTACATATGAATACAAGCCTGCATTAAAATCTGTCATATAAATTGGTCTCTTCAATAGAAATTAGCCTACTGATTGCCACCATTGATGGACACATTTTTAAAATAATATTAAAAATATCTGTATGACATTATATTCTGCAGTTCTTCCCTGTTGTACCGACAAAATTACAAAATACAAAATTAATTCTGTAGGGTGCCACAGGTTTGTTAAAATTTCCAAAGGGTGCCGCAACTAAAAAAAGGTTGGGAAATACTGGTCTAGTGTGTCATTCAGAGCTCCAGGGACATTGCTTTAGAAACATTCTCATATAAAAGGACAATCTAGGCTCAAGACACCTCAAGTATTCATTACAGCCCTAGAATGTTGTGTTCCCTCATCATGTAGATTACTAAAAACCGGTTGAGTTTCTAAGAAGAACACATCCATCTCTCACAGTTGGTCACACATGTGGTGTTTCTCAAATATTCCTAGAATTTAAAGCCATGCTTTGGCTGGTTTCCACCTTATGTAAGCCAGCATGTCTAGTTATGATGCAATACTCTCACTGCCTGGCTGGACCGTGCTTTTGACTTCATGTCATGCCTTTCAATGTTTTGAAGCTTGTGTTAGCCCTGGAGATATGATTGGAATGCAGCTCTGGAATTTCATAGTTTGAGTTTGTTTTACAACGGTGCTTTGTTGTAGGGTTGACTTGATACTGAAATTTGTCTTCCGTAAGATTTCTGATTTAGTGATGCACCAAAATGAATTTTTTTCAACAACACCAAAATTTAAATTTTCATTGAAGTAAAAACTGAAAAAAAGGGTTTGGTTAATAAATTGGGTATTTGAACGCATTATGCTCTTCAGAGTATCTTGTTCTCAGGTGATAAATTAAACCAGTGATAGTCAAGATCTTAGGCAATGAGATGCCTTTTTATATTTCAGCTGAACAAATTTTACATATTGCTACTCTAGCATTATTTTTGGTCAGGGTAAAGTGAGTCATGTTTCTTAGTGACATGTTTTCCTGTTTAACTTATAAAATAAACATTGACAATCAAAATGCGCCATTGGAAAAGTGCTAAATGTCACTGTTTCAGTCATTGGTTTGAGCTATTCAATACTATTTAGGCTACGTCTACACGAAGCCAGAGCTTTCCCTATCCGATCTTTTTTTCCCCATTGTCTCAAGAAATATCTGCGTCCACACGAAACCACAAAAACGACACAAAACGATGTAGTATACATGCCAGACCAGTATGTGGCGCTGTAATTCAGCCACAGAGATACACTAAAAATGGAGAAGAAGACTTGGACTATGCACATAAACCTTGCGCGCGGTATACAAATGAACATGGAGCAATACATTTATTAATCTGTGCTAATGTTAGTTAATAAACAGACAATCGGTATAAACCTAATATGCTAACTAGCTGTAATGCATAGTAACTAACGTTACATGTCCCGCAGAAGTAGCAGCACATTGTTCTGAGGCACTGAAAGTTTCAAAATGATAGATAAATGGGTATTGTCCAGAGTCCAGTGTTTGGTAACTGAACTATTTTTTTATCCTTGTTTACATGATAAATATAAATGACATTACCACTGCTCTTAAATCATGATATGCATATTGTTATGCAAGAGGCCAAGTGGAATCTCAGTTCTTGCCAAGAAGCAAGAAAAATTGGCAGGAGGCGATCAGGCCAGCACTTGTTTTTCTTTTCCTGCCCACACTTGGTCAACGGTTTTGCACCTCTCATCAAATGGCCCATGTGTTTGTTTGTGCATCTCATGTTCAGGGCCATTTGGCTTCAGATGAAGTCACAGATGAAGAGGTCAAGTTTAAGAAATGACTGATATGTGATGGCGAAGTCAATGAGGTCCTTGAGTTGATCAACCCCTCCACCCTAGCCGGAGCTGCTCCATTTCCTTTCTCCTTCCCATCCCCCATCACTGCCAGCTCAAATGAGCCCGTTATGCAAACAGACTGACAACCCCTTGTATGCCCTGTATTGCATTGATCCCAGATCCCATAAACGGATCTACAGTGGAACTGGGGAGGTGGGCTTTCCTGGGATCAGATTACAAAAGGAGGTATCTGTTTGCAGAATGCAGATCCAGCCAAGTCATGAGTCCATGAGCTACTCATAAATTTAGATTCAAGTTTACAAAAACAAACACTTTTTTTCTTCTTGGGAATAACATGGATTAGGAATGCACCAATATTAAAATTGTGGCTGATACTGATAAGTCAATAATTATTTTTGCTAAACAAGTATTAAGCCTTCAAAAGATATAAAATATTTTATCTAAATCAAAATTAAACACCAAAAACTAAAATCAGTCCTTTTAAATGCTACAGGTGATTTCAGGCATCACAACATTCAATTTGAAAATGGATATTAATTTTGAGATTTGCAAGATTATGTTTATCTGTTATTAAATTATTAGTTTTATTATTAATAGTGATGCACCAAAATAAAATTTTAACAAAACACTGAAACCAAATTTAAGTTTTCATTTAACCAAAACCAAAAAGTTTCTGTAATTAAATTTGGGTAACTGAGCTTGTATGTTGTTCAGTGTGTCATGTTCTCAGGTGATATTTTACAACAGTAAAAACCCAGTAAAACTAGCCACCTCTCGATATTTCAGCAAGCAGATTTTCCATATTGCTACTCTAACATAATTTTTAGTCACAGATGTTGCATATCTATGTTGTGTGTAGGAAATAGACACTGATTCATCTTTGCAGAAGCGCTAATTAAATGTCAATAATTTTGGCTCTCCAAAAGTATTTTGGCCAAAATCAAACTTTTTTTCTTTTGTTTTGCTGTTTTGGTCAAACATTTTTAGTTTGTGAAATTTCAGTGTATCACTAGTTATTAAAGAATAACTTTAAGTGAGTTTTACATGATGGCAACGGTAACGTAAATGTAAAAATAAGGGAAATTTGCACAAAAAAAAAAAGATTAAAATGTATGGTTTAGACCAATAATAGATAATGCTACTAATATACTGCACATCCCTAACATGCACCAACAAATATAAAAAAAAAATAATTCACAAGACTTAAATAAATAGTCAGTTTTGATGTAATTTTGACTTTAAGGATCCTGTCATTTTTAAAACGTATAAATGAGTAGTAGAGATTTTGAATATTCAGTCATCTTGAATCAATGGGTGAGGTATTGAGATATAGTGAGGAGGAACGAGATGTAATGTGTTGACCGCTATGACCAACTCTTCCCACACACACTCTCCACAGGCAACCACTTAAATGGCGAGCTTTCCTTGTTAAACAATTTCAAGAGCTTTAGTATCAACTATCTTTAGTATGTAATATCAATCCAACACTTCTGATGTATGTACCTTTTGATAATGTAACCTGCTGGCTTTCTGAGTATTGTTTATTGGCCCCTGTCTGTGTGACCTGAGAGGGTGTTTGCAGCTAGAGTTTGGCACAAACAGGCCCTCAACACCAGAGCCAGTCACACTTAGTACAACAAACTGATGCAATTTGCTCTTCGTGCATGCTCATATATCCAAGTTTTTAGATTTGCTGTAGATTAAACAGTAAAGCATGATGCTAGCAAGGTCATGGGTTCAGTTCCCAGGGAATGAATGAACTGTATGCAATGTTAGTAGCTTTGGATAAGAGCATTTCCTAAATGTATGTAAATGGAACACATTACTTGAAATAAAATATAAAAAAAATTCACAACTTGCTCCAGAAAAAAAGATGAATTGCCTTGTGACTAAAAATGATTTACAAGACAACATTTCTCATTTTTATTTGGTTTAACTTGATATAATCTATAAAAACTCTCTAGACACTTAAAAAATGAATAAAAATTAAAAAAATAACATGCAACAAGATGACTAAAACTAGTGTTTCCCATACATTGATTTATTTGTGGCGCCTGCCACAATATCAAAATTGACCACCACAAATAGATTTTTGTGACTTTGTTGAATAAACATGAGCACTGCACGTTTAGAAATCAAAACCCGGTGCGGGTGTTTTTATATCACTGTATTTCTGAAGGAAACCGAAAATTTTGGATGTCATTTTCATTTTATCTTGCATGTAATGTCTGATAAAGCAGCGTTTGTGAGTGGAGAGCTGCTTTGTGAACAGCCGTTACCGGGGAAACCTCTATTTCTCCCGCTCTAAGCGCCACCTTCTGGCAGAGAATGAATTTGCATTTATATGCCGCCACAAATTGAACTAAGTCTGTGGGAAACACAATCTGCTCTGAAATATTTTATCAATACTTATCAGTTAAAAAAAATGGCTCTTTGTGTTTTTTTTTTTACTTCTATAGAATAAAACTTGCTTGCAAGCCAGATGCAAAATTTGTCAAATGTTTTTTTAAGCCTTCAATAAAAGGTCCTGATGTTCAGTCAGAGGTCCCATAATACTGCATCACTTCATCAGATTCATTGATGTGTGTGTCACTACACCACCCCGTCCTCCTCCTGCAGCCTATGAAATATCCAGTCCTCGAACCTCAACAAGTTTTTTTTTTTCCATATTGATTTTAAAGTTGAGTTTTATTTTCTCTGTTTTTTCCCCTCTTCAAGTACTGCAATGGAGGAGACCTGGCAGACTATTTGCAAGGTAAGCAGCTTGTGAGGTAAACACATAATTTGGTCAGGAGTCTCAAGTTAAAAGCACAATTTAGGGAAGTCCGCCTATTAATGGGTTTCTTTGCATATTAAATAGGGATAGGAGATAAGGTTCAATCTTAAAGCGCACTTCCCTCCAACACTCTCAGAGAGCCACTACTGTCTCCATTATAATATATATTTAAAGCTTTGCCCACATACTCATTGTGAATAAACTGTGAAGTCTGTTGTTTGGTGTTTTCGAACAGTCTGCCAAAGGAATCTGATTGGTCTATAAACCATGTTTTCACTGAATGTGTGACACAGAGGGCATAATAGAGATGACTCAGGTGCCGTTTACTTAGTGCGTGTGATGTTGGCTGGATTGTTACCCCTTGTTATGTTCAGGTGGAGTGTTATCTTTGTTTAACCATGATGGATGACACAGTACAGCACGTCTCGGCCTCTCACACTTCTCCCCCTGTATAATTATGCAACCGTTCCTTAGTTATACAACCTCACCACTACGCCAGTCACTGTGTTTTGGGATCGGTACGAGATTCATTGTGATCATAATTGCTTTGTTTACAGAGCAGATTGGGTGAAGGGAATCCTCTTAACAGCTCAGTGGATTACACCAGTTTTGCTCTAACGGGGGACCTGGAGCGACATCACTCCATGTAAAACCCCTGAGAAGCTTCTGATTTTAACATGACTGTGATGGTCTTGGATTAGCTCAGTGTAGTGGACATTCTTATCTAAAGGGATAGTTCATCCAAAACTAATTCTGATATTATTACTCACCCTCAAAGTGCTCAACAATAAGGATGGCCCATTGGCCCGGGCAAGAGAGAGAGAGTGATTCGTGCCAGAACTGTAACTTTGACCTATTTGGCAAGCACTGTATCTTAATTTTTGTGCATTGCAAACTTAAACATTTGGAATTCTGCTTGTCAACCTTTTATCTATCAGTAAGAATGGGTTGAAAACTAATCAGTAATGTTTTGATGTGTATTCCATTTTCCAATTTATTGGAGTTTCCTGTGTGGTCATAATTACTGTATGATTTATAGGTTTTATTGCATATTTTCTTTGTAAAGAAAACTTGATTTGATGGAAATTTAAATTTGTGTGTGGAAAATGTTTGTATTTTTGTAAATGAATGTCAAAATAAAGGTAAAAAAACTAAATTTAAACGAGAACTTTACAATTAAAAATGTAAATATGATATTATTAGTTTAAATACATTAAATATTATATTTATAAGTGTTGTGTTGGGCCACTGGAAATGTTGGCTGGAACTACTGGCCCAGCTGGGTGTGGTGAAAAATCATGGAAATTAATCAAATCTTACAAGGTCAAGACTTTTCAATAGTCGGTCTACAGTTCTAGTTTTGCTCAGTTCTACAATATTTCTTTGGCTATAAATGACTCGTTGCTATAATTGGCTATAATTAATAGCCAATTAAGGTGTGGTCACCTTAGCAAAATCTCAGCTGTTTCAGCAGAAAAGATCCATTGCCTGTAGTCAGTAGTCTAGGGATGTATGAAGCAGCTCACACTGAAGTCACTTTCAAACCAAGCTTCATCACAGTGAATTTGTGACCACCTTGCATGTGCAGTGCAAAAGCTGCATGGGGAAATCTTTCCCCCTCACAAAATTTCCAATCACGTGGATTCCTATTGAAATTACTGGATTTCATCTGAGAAAACTTGCCAAACTTGCAAAAAAGTTTTGCTCCTCAAAACTAGTGAATCTGAGGTTTCTTGACACTTGGCCAATTGGTTTTCAGGAAATGTCCTGTTTAGAAGCATTGTGTGATGTAAGCAGTCATACCATCTGCAAGGGTAAATGAGGTTTTTATAGAATGTCTTAATGGATTTTATAGCCATGTTACTCAGCAGTACAATGTCTTTGCTCTTCAGCCAAGGGCACTTTGCGAGAGGAGACACTGAGGGTCTTTCTACAGCAGATTGCAGCAGCCATGCGCATTCTCAACAGCAAGGGGATCATTCACAGAGACCTCAAACCTCAGAACATCCTGCTGTCCTACACGGGCCGCAAGAAGTCCAGCATCAACGGCATACGCATCAAGATTGGTAACACTCTCCCCAATTATTTATTGCTAATATTATGTGCTATACAGTATAATATATCTACAGTAAATGTGAAATGTCTAAAACCACATTACAAATCTGGGATCCAAAATTGAACTTAAAATTGGAAATAAATATCTCAGGGCATTTGAAGTCCACCGTATATGTACCCAATCTTTCATACCTAACAGTCTATTTAATACCTTCATACACTTTCCACCCTCTGATCTCTCACACAGGCGGTTCTTTGTTTCCATTGTCTCAGTCTGTGCAGAAGTTACAAGTCGTGACTCTCAGACAGCAGCATGATGCTATTAATAATGCTCTCTTTGTTTTACAGCTGACTTTGGTTTTGCAAGATATCTCCAGAGCAACATGATGGCGGCCACATTATGTGGATCCCCAATGTACATGGTCAGTAGCCACTGGCTGAATTCTGTCTTCACAATCTCAGATTTGTGAAATATAGCAGCCACGTGAGACATTGGCAGCATTATGTTATAATCTGTCATCTCCCTCCACAGGCTCCAGAGGTGATCATGTCCCAGAACTATGATGCCAAAGCTGACCTGTGGAGCATTGGGACTGTCATTTATCAGTGCCTCGTGGGAAAGCCGCCTTTCCAGGTGAGGTTCATGACGTTGAAGTTAAAAGTCATATAGCTAATGTTCTGATTTGAATACTTACTGTAAGTTTTGATGATGTTTTTACATGTTTTATGTCGTTATGTGACCAGGCTAACAGTCCACAGGACTTGAGGATGTTCTATGAGAAGAACAAGACTTTGGTGCCAAAGTAAGAGCACGGACTAAATTATTATTATTTTTTTTTTCCGTTGCATTATGTGTCATAATTCTCAAGACTCTGTAGTAAAACCACAGTTGTCCCATAATGTGATTGGGGTGTTTTAGATAGTGATACCTAAATAACAGCGGTGGCCGATATAATGCTCATATATACACTACTGTTCAAAAGTTTGGGGTCATTTAAAAAAAAATTATTATTATTGTATTTGTAGAGGATGCATTAAATGGATTTAAGTAGTCAGTAAAGACTTACAAAAGATTTCTGTTTCAAATAAATGCTGTTCCTTTCATTGAAGAGTGCTGAAAAAATTTATCTCAGTTTCCACAAAAATAAAGCAGCACAGGCAGTTTCAATATTGATAATAATAAGAAATCAGCATATTAGAATGATTTCTGAAGGATCATGTGACACTGAAGACTTGAGTAATGATGCTGAAAATGTAGCTTTGCGTCACAGGAATAAATTACATTTTAAAATATATTCAAACAGAAAACAGTTATTTAAAATTGTAATAACATTTCATAATATTACTGTATTTTTGATCAAATAAATGCAGCCTTGATGAGCATACAAGACTTATTTTTAAAAACTTTTAAAAATCTAAACAGTACTTTATATACACAAAAAATTGCTGAAATGAAATGAGCAATTTTCATAAATGTACATATTATTTACTCAAAATTCTATGAAAAATGAAAACAGATTTTTTTATTATTTTTGTAATATTTTATTATTAAGCCATTAATCCCGAAATGGTCAGTCACTGGGTGCTATTTACTAAATAACTAATGCTTTCTGTTCACAGCATCCCGCAAGAGACGTCTCCTCAACTGGAAGATCTGCTGCTGGGGCTGCTCCAGAGGAACCAGAAGGATCGGATGGATTTAAAAAATCTAAACAGTACTTTATATACACAAAAAATTGCTGAAATGAAATGAGCAATTTTCATAAATGTACATATTATTTACTCAAAATTCTATGAAAAATGAAAACAGATTTTTTTTATTATTTTTGTAATATTTTATTATTAAGCCATTAATCCCGAAATGGTCAGTCACTGGGTGCTATTTACTAAATAACTAATGCTTTCTGTTCACAGCATCCCGCAAGAGACGTCTCCTCAACTGGAAGATCTGCTGCTGGGGCTGCTCCAGAGGAACCAGAAGGATCGGATGGATTTTGGTCAGTGTATTTCTGTTGTTGCAGTGCATTATGAAAAGATTTGCACCTTGTTGTTGTGTTTCCCTTATTGTATACTCTTCCGTCTGCAGACACTTTTTTCAGTCATCCTTTCTTGGAACCGACATCAACTATTAAAAAATGTAAGTAAGAGAGCATTTGATGAGCAAATTTGATGAGTAAGGTGTGTCTCGACACTGAAACAGCTTTTGTTTTACCCAGCATGCCCTGTGCCAGTGCCTACGTGCTCTGGCTTGGTCACAGACAGCACATGTGGCAGCTCTCCTTCCTGTCGTTACGTCTCTCCGCCGGTAAGCCCCTTAAATTGTCAGTGCTGAATCCACTGTCACTCCACCACAGGTGTGAGCAGCTTTCTGACTGGGGTGTTGTATGAGATGATTATGGTATTCAGAAGGGTAATGGTACTGACTCAGCTAAAGGTAATCCAGCGTTTACCTTCACCTTTGTGTTACAGTCCCTGCCAGACATGCAGACTCTCCCCGAGGACGTGTTGTCCTCTCCACCTCTCGGCGCTCCCAACTACCTGCAGCTGTCCAAGGAGTCGGGCGGCAGCACCAGCAGCAAGAACTCTTCCTGTGACACTGACGACTTTGTGCTGGTGCCCCATATCTCTGGAGAACAGTCCTGTGAGTCACATAATGTCACCAAACACATGCCACATGCCTAGGCAGACCACAGCTGACATCTACACTGCTAAAAATCTGTATTATTTTTTGTTTTTCTGTTAAAATATTAAAACATCCTTAAAACAAGATTATTTGAGAAACAAAAAAAGTGTAATAAGCTGTTTTCATCAAATTTGTTTTATTCTTTTGACCAGCTAATGTAATGTTATGATTCACACTTTTTTTTCTTTCATAAGAAAAGCAATATAAACCTTTTTAACGTGTGGGCATGGTTAATGTAAAATAATTATAATCCTGAATCTAGTTTGATGTTTTATGCTGAAAAAAAAACTATTGTGTTTTAAAAGCACCTAATTAAATGTATATTATCTGAAAACAATTCACAATATTATACACAATTTGTTTTTAAAATAATAATATTTTAATATTTAGTATGATATTTTAAGAATGGTTTAGTATGCTTGCATATTTTACATTTGATAGAGAATATATTCATTTTAATCAATAATAGAATTTTTCTTTAATGTAAGCCTTCATTTAATCTTTTTTTTTAAATCTGGCAACATATAAAAATATTGAAAAATACATGTAATTCAAGATATATTCTTTTAATTTTGTAAGAGTGTTTAGATATGTTTTCCTGGAAAACATGATTTCAGGGAATAAATCTTGAAATTACTTTATTTTCCTTAATAAAATGGCTAATAATTTAAGCTTATAATTTAGGATAATTTAATTTTAAGCCTTTTTATAAATCTTACAGAATATAAAAATATAGAAACTATTCAAAAATGCATGCAATTCAGTATACAGGATTCTCTCCGTTTTGTAAGATAATAAGTTTAGAAGTATGTTTAGATCTTTTTTACTGGAAGCCAAGACAAAAAATACAGAGTAAGAAAACGAAAATTTGCGGTGTGCTATTTTTACACGTCATAACACACGCACACACACTAAGCACTATATTTGAGCAGCTGCTGGAGCTGTTTGTGTGTGTTTTTTAGCGTATAGAGAGGCGTCAGCTGAGTCAGCGTTACGAAAGCCTTCCAGCGCTGATTACGCTCTCACACGCTGTGATTTGTTGGTGTATGTGAGACTGTGTATTTATGTAGTTCTCACGGCTTTCTTTCTTTCTCTCTCTTCTCTTCAGATGACCTTCCAATGGGGGCAGTGGGCCGCAGAGCGTCCAGTGAATTCCTTCTCTGTGGAGGGTGAGTGTGACATCGCTCACTTCACTCAAGATACGTGACAGTGCTTAAAAAGCTCAAACTTTCAACCATGCATTTTTACTTGCGTTGAGCTCTGCAAATGTTAGACAAGTATTTTAGTAGGTTGACATTTATTAGTCCAAAGATACACAGTTCACAGTCAAGTCCGACATGCAGACAGAAATATTAACTCTGGGTAAATCAACTTGATCCTTTTTTGTCTGTTTGCATCATGGAAATATGGAAGTACAGATTAGTACACTGATCCGTTGGCTTTGTAGATGTGATATTTTTGGTGGCTTCCATTCGCAAGCTGTTTAATCATAGAGGTGAAGGCCAGGGTGGATTCACGGTTGTGTGAGTCTGGGTGGTATGTCTGCTGTTATTGCTGGAGAAAGCTGGTGTGGTTGAGTGAGAGGTGAATCACACAGCTGGTGAATGAGTCCTGTGGGAGCAAATGCGTGTGTTTGTGCTTCTGCTCTAAGAATAGACACCCTGCTGTCAACTTCTCCCATCTGCTTCTGTTTCCACCGACCTCTAATTTTGTCCAGAGGTGCAAAATTCAATGTCCATTGGGTGTTTTGTGACTAGACGGTTTGTTTCATGATGCAGTTATGCAATAGATCTGACATAAATTTTGCCAGGGCTGACAGAGTGACAGTTAAAACATTCGTATGCTGTACATCTTTTGTCTGTTACTCATGTAAAACAGAGGATGTTTTGTTTTTGTGAGAGTCGGTGCACTTCCTTCTGCTCTGTGGCTTTTCTGTTTCCCTCTCTTGTACAAGCAAAACATGCCACCTTTTTTGTCTCCATCTCTTTTGTCTATTTATTCTTTTTCACACATACACACTAAAGACCAGAAGGTTGGACACACTTGACTAATTTGCAGAAAATAAAAGTAAACAGTGTTATTAAATTATTAGCGTTTTTAAAGATTAACTTCAAGTGAGCGTTAATCTAAATGTAAAAATAGGGGAAATGAATATGATAAATTTGTATTTTATAAAATGTAATATAAAATATATGAATAGATCTCTGTTCAGATTCAGAAGTTTCAGGTCAGTAATATTTTTAATGTTTTAAAAATGCTCACCAAGGCTGCATTCCTTTGATCAAAAATGCAGTAACAACTTTTTTTTAACTATTTTTACTATTTTTTATTATTGTGAAATATTATTACAATTTTAAATAACCATTTTCTACTCAAGAAACATTTCTTATTATCATTGCTGAAAACAGTTGCACTGCTTGGAAACCATGATGCATTTTATGAGGATTATTTGATCAGTAGAAAGTTCAAAAACAACATTTATTTGAAATAGAAATATTTTGTACATTATAATACATTATACAGTACATTTAAAAACAACATTATAAATGTCTTTCATTCAGCAAGGATAGATTAGGTTGATCAAAAGTAACAGTAAAGTATTAAAAAATGAAAAAGAAAAATGTTTTAGCCTCGTCAGTTATGTCCTGTTTGTTTTGTTGTGCCATGCTGAACTGACTCTGGGTCAAACAAAGACACAGCCTGGTTAACCATTCACGTGTAGCCCTCACTCACACTCCTCCCTCTCTCATTACATAATCCAGGACTTTGGAGCTCAAACCACAATGCGCAGCTTCCTTTTTTCACTTTTAGCTCCCCTTCCGTCTTATCAGCCATTTGCACCCCCCTCCCCATACATGACCCAGTCATGACATCTGTGAAAAAACATTGTGTTCCTGATAGAATAAGAATAAGCTGTTTTGTTTCCTTTGTCTGAGACTGGTGAAGGTAGGTGGACCCAGCATGTGCCACTGCCTGAAAGCACCGCCCATTTCTCCTCCCTCCCCCTTACTGATAGGTCAGGGCTTTGTGTTTACGCCCCATGTGGTTCGGCCATGCCCTTTGAGCAGAAACAGCTTTTGCTAAACTTATCCGACAAAGTTAGAAGCTCGCACTTTACATTTAGTGATCGCATTTTTTAAAGGTTTTATAACATAAAAGGGTTTGGAAAAGCATTCTGACTGGTTTATTTTATGGGTTTCTCAGGCCACCGCAGCCATCCTCTGGACAGACCCCAATGGTATCACCACGAAGCGAGACCACGCCGATACCTGTACCTACACAGGTGCGAAACTACCACCGTATCAAACAGAACCTGTCCAGCAGCCCAACCACAACACTTTATGGCTCTCCCAGGTAAGACATTCAACAACAGGAATAAATAACTCTAATGCTAACTGCTTTTAGTAGCATGTTCAAGCCATTATGGTGCAATATAAAGATCAGTGACATGATTGCTTCAGTTTTGTAAAATCATCTCACTTGTGTATCTAACTAGAGAGAATTTGCTAAGTGATTCAGTGGATTGTCTTTGGGAACAGGTGGATTTAGGGTCTTCAGACAGGTGGCTATCAGACTCTGGAGATTATGACTGTTACACAGTCCATTATTAGTCACGCCAGACCTCAGCAGCTGCTTGGCCTACTTCACTCTGACCTGCCCTGTGTCTCAAAAAAAGTGATTGAGCTCATCATGGTAGCCTTGCTGTCCGTGTGCTCAGGGCTGAGCTGGTTCACATGATCTCACCCTGTTAGTCAGCTCGGTCACTGTGCTGGTGAAGTAGCCCTGGGCACTGCTTCAGACCTGATTTATGAGTCAAGATTGTCTTCCAGGTGTCATTCACTGAACTATTTAACATTTCTGAGCTTATCACAGGTGACGTGATTTTTGTGTAAATAAGGTTATTCATGTGTTGTTTGGGAAGGTAGGAATATTGAGAATCTCACTTTTAGCTAAAGAAAATGCCAGGAACTCTACAGACAGAGGATATTCTACAAATTGTGTTTCATATACAGTGGTGTAAAAAGTATCCGGACATTTAAAATATATGAATTCCTTACCATTTAAAACCTTGGGGTTGGTGTTTTTAAAAATAAGTCTGGCTGCATTTATTGAATCAAAAATACTGTAAAAACGGTAATATTGTGAAATATTATTACAATTTAGAATCTTTTTAATACATTTAATACAAATATTTTTTTCCAGTTTTCAGCATCATTACTCCAGTCTTCAGTGTCACATGATCCTTCAGAAATCATTCTGATTTGCTGATTTGATGCTTAAGAAACAATGGTGTGCTGAAGAATATTTTTGTGGAAACCTTGATCATTTTTTTCAGGATTCTTTGATGAATAGATATTCGAAAATAACAGCATTTGTTTGAAATACACATCTTTCGTAACAATATAAGTCTTTGCTGTCAGTTTTGATCAATTTAATGCATCCTTGCTGAATAAAAGTATTAATTAAAAAATACTTAATACCGACCCCAAATTTTTGAATAGCACTGTATCATGCTAAATGGCATTTATTTTAAAGAAAGATAATACTGTTTAAAATGAAAATGAAAAGTACACCTGCGGTGTTACTCTGTTGGGACACCAGTGTGAACTTGAGGAGAACTGACATCATGCATCCACTAAAATTACATCGAGACCAGATAAATGTGTAATTGCTGGTTAAGAAAAGTGATGTTCATACTGAGGAAATGTTAAGGTTATCCAAATACTACAGTATGATTTTTGGTTGTTTTTAATGGTCACAGGCCTGGCACAGTGCGGCGCTCCAACACAAGCCCCATGGGCTTCCCTAAAATGGTGCCTGGGTCACCTAGCCCTGCAGATACAGTTCAAATGGTGGGGCGACGTCTCTCTACAGGCAGTTCCCGGCCCTACTCCCCTTCTCCACTGGGTAAGAGTCCCTGCTCTTATTCTTTTTTTAAGTTTACTGGGAAACTGTATTTTCTAAGACTGACACGTTCTGACATGCCCATTTTATGTGCGTCTGTCTATTTCTGTATTTGTTCCCCAGTGGGCACTATTCCTGAGCAGCTTGGCCACTGCTGCTGCGGACATCCCCAGAGCCACGAGGCACGCAGTCGCAGCTCCTCAGGCGGTGAGTTTATATGTGAGAAATTGACATGAAAAAAACACAGCACTACTGTTTCCTCTTCAAAGTGGCACCATTAACATTCTCACAAGCCGTAGCCACAGTCGCTTGTCTGCCATATTTAAGTCTCCATGGTTACATCTGCTGTTATGGCTGAGAACTCAACAAGCGATCAGGAACAATGCATGTTGTTATAACAACAAACTGTGCGACCTCTGAGCTTTTGTGCAAAACCTCTTCAAATCGATAAACCTTTAAACCTGTGAACTCAATGATCATGTCTAAACAGGAGACAAACTCATGGATCCTGTTGGTTTAGACTTTCAGTTCAATTAAGTTTTATGGTACAGATCTTACATACTGCAGTGCCACCTAGTGGTTGAATAATGAAGCATGTGGTGTGCCATATCAATAATATGTTATGTTAAAGGGATAGTTCACCCCACAAAAAAGTTTTGTCATTATTTACTGACCCTCATGTAGATCTAAACCCACCACAATTTGGTTAATCTTCAAAACACATCAAACTCCACTTCTTTGAGTTTGTACTAAATGTGATGTGCTCTATGCATGTGCATTGATCATTGTTTATATCTAAATAAAAGCCTGAATTAAATTTGTTCTTCATATAAAGTGATCATATCTCTTCACAAGATTAACAGCTTGATTCATTTGGATTCATTTTTGAATATTTTAAAGGAATAGTTGACCCAAAAATTAAAATTAGCTAAAAATATAGGCCATTTAAAATGTAGCGAGTTTGTTTTTTCATTGGAACAGATTTGGAGAAATGTGCCATCAGAATGAGAGTCCAAACAGCTGATAAAAACATCACAGTAATCCACATGACTCTTAATGACTCTTAGTCTATTAATTAACACCTTGTGAAGTGAAAAGCTGTGCATTTGTCTGCAGAGGGTCTATTGGTGAGCAAGTGATGTAATGCTAAATTTCTCCAAATCTGTTCTGGAATAATCTTGCATGGCCTGAGGGTAAGTAAATAAAAAATTTTGAGTGAACTATTCTTTTAAGGTTTGGTTACCTGGAATTTTATTGGAGGAACAGAACCCTGTTAGGTTTCATTAAAAATATAAAATTTGTGTTTCAAAGATTAACCAAAGGCTTATGGGTTTGGAACAACATCAGGGTGAGTCAATGAGAATAGAACTGAAATTTTTGGGAGAACGATCACTTTTTTGTTTTTAAAGGGGTCATATGATGCTGCTAAAATTTTGTGTATTTGGTGAAATGAACAAGGTTAAAAAAACACATTATTTTCCACATACTGTAAATGATTGTTTCTCCTCTATGCCCCGCCTTTCTGAAACGCTCAATTTTTACAAAGCTCATCGGTCTGAAGAAGCGAGGTGTGCTCTGATTGGCCAGCTATCCAGTGCATTGTGATTGGTTGAATACCTCAAGTGTGTGACGGAAATGTTACGTCCCTTACCATATTGTGATGCCTGCGGCAACCACATGTGACGACCCCGGGCTGGACTTCGCTTCATCCACGGTGAAAGCCGATCCGGTGATCGACAGTGCGAAGTTGAAGTATTTCCTCAGTGACCAGCACGGATCAGCTCTAGGCATGACGAAGCAGATATCGTCCTCTTTTGGAAGGCCAAACAAAGTAGTTTCGCTTTCACAACGAATCACACAGCGTCTTCACAAAATGGCTGCAGCGTCAACAATACTACAGCGAGAATAAAAGTTACGCCTTCTTTCTTTGCATGAACATTTAGGCGGCGTTATGCAAATGTTCCCAGATATTGACGTAGATATGTGGGGGCGTGTTAGAACGAACCGTTTTAGGTAGGTGTTGCTGACTCTTAACTTTTATAAAGAATATCTCTTTGGATTTGAGACTTTAGTCTTTGCAACTTTACAGATCTTCTTTATGCACCAAGAGCTTGTAACACTCCAAAGAGAAAGGACAAATTGAAATCGCATCATATGACCCCTTTAAACAAGATGGACACTTTTATTTTATAGGTTCCCCTGTGCCATCCTCTCAATTACTGGGCACTCGTCTTCAGAGTGCGCCCACACTGACTGACATTTACCAGAACAAACAGAAACTACACAAGCAGCTGTCTGACCCGGTTCACCCCACCGCCTCAGCCTACCCCAACAGCCACTCCCCTCAGCTTGGTCGCCCCGGCAACCTAGGCACCTCCCCAACCAAGCACCTTGGCTCCTCCCCTCGCACCTCTGACTGGTTAACAAAGTCACCGTTGCCCACCATCATCGGCTCACCCACTAAGGTAAGCTCTAGGAGTTGTCGGGTAAAAAGTGTTTCAAGTCTAGAGCTTTTGGCATTAATAATATAATTTCTTCTCATTTAGGCAACTGCTCCATTCAAAATCCCTAAAACCCAAGCCTCATGCAACCTTATGGCCCTGGCCTCTCAACAGGGTATGGCTGACAGCCCCGCCCCAGTCAAGACGCTGATGGATGGGCGTGACCTCTGTGCACATCACTGCTCTGCGTATCCCAGCAGCCGACAGTCTGCACCAGAAGCCAGCAAGTCTTCTTTTGGCAGGTTGGCAAAAACTTTGTTCAGACAACATCTGATATAAGCAACAAAGTTTTAAAATATAGTATACTGTATATAGTAATATACATACACTACTGTTCAAAAGTTTGGAGTCAGTTTTTTTTTTTTATAAACAATTAATACTTGTATTCAGTAAGGATGCATTAAATTGATCAGAAAAAAATTCATTTATATTGTTAGAAAATATTGTAGTTTCAAATAAATGCTGTTTTTTAAACTTTGTATCAGTTTCTATAAAAAATATTAAGCACATTTCAACATTCATAATAATAAATGTTTCTCGTGCATCAAATCAGCCTATTAGAATGATTTTTAAAGGATCACGTGACACTGAAGACTGGAGTAATGATGCTGAAAATTCAGCTTTGTCATCACAGGAATAAATGAAAATATATTAAAATAGAAAACAGTTCCATTTAAGAACATTTTGTAGTAATAATAAATTGAAATAATATTTCGCATTCTTACTATTTTTACTGCATTTTTGATCAAATAAATAAAGAATTCTTTCAAAAACATTAAAAAATCTTTTTGACCTTAAACTTTTGAACTGTAGTGTATAAAAGTATTATATCGCTAATGAATTATGAACGTTAATCTTTTGGGGTGTTGCATACATTGTGATAGTTTATTTAATTTAGTTTTTACCTTGACACACAGTCATGAAAATCTGCAGGGGTCCTCTCTGTGATATCATTTCCTGTTTTAGTTGTTTTTTTCCCCCCTGCATGTTGGTCACACCACATGTGATTTGTCCGTTTTTATAATAGATTTATAATATTTTAACAAACTGTATTATTCATATTTTTAGAAGAGTAAAATAAGATTTTATATTTTCTTCTCAATAATTTAATTATTTTAATAATTATTATTATATTGGGACAGTTGACATTTATGACTTTATGCCCCACAAAAGTATCATAAACAAGAAATAAAAAATATGATCATCATATAAGAAATGCACTGATGCCATTGTTTGCATTTTTCATGTACAGTATATTATAATAAATTAAATAAATTATTATAATCAATTAAAAGATTTGGACAAGAAGTAAGTGCCATGACATTGACCCCTGTGTTATAAATTCTAATTGAATTTAATAACAAGCTGAACCTGTTTATTTCCTCAGGTCTGTAAGTGCTGGCAGACTGTCTGAGCAGCCGGTACGGATCACTTTGGGAGGACAGCCGTACCAGGGCAGCACAGACAGCCTCAACACAGAGAGACCCATGGACACAGGTAGCCCCCTTTCCTTATTTTGTTATAGCTTTTTGTAAAGTCCAGTTTTTCATACCAATATTATTTTATTTCTACTAAATATAACCCCATTGACATAATTTGAACTTCTCCTGAAAGCTTCTGTCTTGCATGAAGTGTTCTGATTGGCTGCCAGTGTTTGTATGTGTTTTGTGATCCCTCTGTGTGCATCCCTCCCCAGCCCCGGCAGGGACTTGCGGTTTGGCAGCAGGTGGGGCAAGTCCCCGCACCGTTGTGTTCACGGTGGGCTCGCCCCCCAACAGCAGCACTCCACCCACCTGCAGCCATCTCGCCTCCCGCCCGCGCACCACCTCAGGTGAGGGGCCTCATCTCATAAACCTGCCCCATACATCACTGCTTCAGCTGCCGCACTACACGTTTAGTACCTGTGCCACAGTTTTGAAGACATTCTGATGCATTATGGTCAAGATCTAACGGCAGGTTAACACATACTCCGTTTGCAGTGCGTATGCAGTCCATGTGCTTTCACACAGGATGTGTTTGCAGTCCACTCCTGATCTGCGTCTGTTTACCACAAACACAGCATTTACTTCAGGAATATATATATATATTGTAATGGGGTGAAGAATCACACAACAAGGAAATCTTAAGAAATATCCCGGAGGGTGGATTTATTGGTGTGGTGGGTGATGGGGAGAAAGGTCCAGGTAGGTGCTCCGGTGCCATGAGTGCTCTCTTCCGTCTTCCCAGTGCAGAGGGTCCGTGCAGTGCTCCTGTGGGGCTGGTCGGTCACACGCTGCTGTCTGTGGGAGAAATAAGAGGACGAGTTAGTGCTCAGTCTCATGGAGAAGTCTCCCCGATGGCAGGGCTTGCGTGGCTTATGTGGCCGCCGCCTGATGAACTGCAGCTGTGACCGATCAGCCTGTGATGAGGACGGCCAGGTGTTCCTTGCTTGTTTCCAGGGCGACGCTGATGAAGCTTCGGGACGCTCGTCACAATATATATATATATATTATAATAGGGATGTAACGATTCACTCAACTCAAGATTCGATACGATTCACAATACTGATTTCACGATTCGATTTTCTTTTTTTTTAACAAAATGAGATTTCAGACAAATTATCAATGAAAAGATGTCCTTTTATTATTGCTTGGACAAAATGCTGAACATTTCTTTGTGAAATTGAAATATGACATTTTAAAACAAACCCCAAATCAAATAAATAAAAAACACAAAGAAAAGACATCTCTTCATATAAACAAACTAAGGCTTTGCCTGTGGTCTTTCCGTTCAGTTAGAGGCAAACACTGGATTTTAATCATAATCCAAACAAAGATGCTGCATACATGCTGCATGAGCAGTTTTTAATCTAAATTAGATTGTAGAATTTCGAAATGTGAAGCAAAAACAGAATGCTCTGACTTTAACTTTGTGAAATTATGCTACATAAAACATTTGAACGAGACAAAAACATCAGACGGGCTGAATGAGACGCAGATTCACTCTCTGCAGCAAAGCAGCACAGTGAATATATCATCTACATTTTTCTAAAGACAGTCAGTTCCCCTCAGAGATACATTCATATAAACTCCTACCCACAACTGTATTGCGATTCGTTTAATATCTCAACTGACTTGAATCGTCACATATTTGTATCGATTTTCAACCAGCTCGCAGTGAATCATCCCTAATAATATACCTAGCCAAAAATATGCGTGGTATGTCTTTAATTATATGCATTAATGGTGTAATTACTACATTTTCATGTCAAATCATGTTAATTTTTACCACGAAAATGCACTGCCAATTTAATTCAGCGCATTCAGCACAGCAAAAATAGACTCGGTGCAGAAATGATCACTGCACTGCTGCAGACGCACCGCACATGGAACGCACCGCATGCAGTGTGAACGCTCTAATCTGTTAACATGGGCGCGGGAAAAAATATCCACTGCAAACAGAGTATGTGTGAACCTGGCATAAAGCTAATAGACTCTTAAGACTCTATATAGACTATGTGGCTGATTGTGTGTGTCTGTGTGTCTGCAGTAGGCTCCAACAGCTCGGCCGGCTCGCTGTGCTCCACCAGTGGCAAGGTGTACATGGGCTCTCCCCCGGGCATGATCATTGGCAGCTCCCCACCAGGAGCGGAAGCGGCTCCCAGCAGTCTTCGCTATGTCCCTTACGGCACCTCCCCGCCCAGCTTGGATGGATTCATCACATTTGAAGCTCCAGAACTGCCAGAGGAGACACTGATGGAGGTGAGAGAGCTAACGCAGTTGGAACGTATAGAGTAGCTTTTCTTGGGAAACACTAACATGAGTGTTTTTCTGTTTGGCAGCGTGAACACACAGACACCCTGATGCACCTACGGATGATGCTGTCCTTTACGGACTGTGTGCTGGAGATCGCTTCTCTATGGGCCGGAGGACCTGATCTGGGTGCGTCTGCCACCTCTCTCTATCCGCCCCAGGACAGCGTGGTGGTGGATCAGATCAGTCAGCTCAGTAAGGAGTGGGGGTAAGAGCAGTGCGCACAAACACATGATCTTTAACAATGAGAGTTCATAGCATACAGTATATAACGCTTTGGTCATCATCTTACACAGGCAGGTGGAGCAGCTGGTGCTGTACATGAAAGCTGCACAGCTGCTGGCATCCTCACTGCACCTGGCCAAAGCTCAGATCAAATCTGCCAAACTCAATCCATCCTCGGCCGTCAAACAAGGTCAGCTGCTACATTAGATGGCTTTGCTAAAAACAAGCGTGCATGTGTGCTCAGTTCGTTACAGAGTCCCTTATTACGGTTAATTCCCCTGGGCTTTAAAATTATTATTAGGACTTGCCTTGATGTGGTAAAGTCATGAAAATAAATTAAATCCTAAAAGATCGTGGGCATTTTTAAAACGAATATACATTTTTCTACTCAAAAATATTTTATTGGGTAGAAATTGATATTTGTGAGTATAAAAATAATATTAAAACAAATAGTTACAAAAGACTAGGGAAATCATTTAAATTAATTGGTGTAAATGTGTTAACCCTGAAAATATTCAGTTATTGAAATGTCTGGAGTTATAAAATGTAATAATTTAAATTATTTATATTTATGTCGAGTTATTTTAATGTATTGTGACTTTTTTCTGTAAATAATGTTTAAAAATTAAACTTTTTGGCATTTTTTCGGAAATTTTGGCATAGGCAATCAAATGAAACAAAAAAACAATGTTGAAGTACTAAATTTACTTAAACTAAAATAACTAAAAAGTTAAAGCTAAATAGTTTTGTGATTGTAATTTCCGTAAATAAAGTTTGAAAATTAGTTTTTACAGCAGAAGTTTGTCTGTACGTTTGTCATTACAGCAGAAGTAGCTGAAATATCTTGGGGGGCATTCAGCTATTACCCTGGACTCTAAAACGTTAAGAACCACCAATTTTGAGTAAAAGATGAAATTAACGAATAACATGTATCTTGTCTCTGAACTTCAGTGGTGAAGAGTCTGAACGAGCGCTACAAGAGCTGCATTTCCCTGTGCCGCTGCCTCACTGACAAACTCAACCACTTCTTCTCCGACAAGCAGCGATTTGTGGATGAGATCAACAGTGTAACAGCTGAGAAGCTCATTTATAACCATGCTGTAGAGATGGTGAGTGAGGATGGTCATGGTGGCCTCACTTTGAGCTTTGTTGCGTGATTTAATGAGTGGTTAACAGTGGTGCCATGTTTGTGTAACAGGTGCAGTCGGCTGCACTAGACGAGATGTTTCAGCAGACAGAGGACATTGCATATCGCTACAACAAAGCCTCTATGCTGCTGGAAGGCCTGTCCAAGATCCTCCAGGACCCAGCTGATATAGAAAACGTCACCAAATGTGTGAACTTGAATTATTAAAAAAAAAAAAGAAAGAAAAAAAAAAGGAGTGGAACCTAATGATTTTCATTTCATTATGATTGTTACTTTTGCTGATGTGACCAATGTAGTCTGACTCACTTTTAAATGACTTGTTATCTAAATACATTTTATGAATAGATATAAAGCTGAAATAAAATGCTTTTCTCTTTGTGTACAGATAAAGCAAGCGTGGACCGGAGGATCTCAGCTTTGTGTTACTGCACCGTTACCCTGTACGAATAAAGAGAGTCATCTTGGCCGGTGCTCTCACTCCAGGGACCATCATCTTCTCAAACCACAGAGAAGAGAAATCCCTCGTTTTTGTTTTGTAGCAAAGCACTTACAGTTCCTTTTGATTCCTTTCAATCACAAGCAACAGACCAAGTATTACATTTTTTTTGCAGATGACATTTTGAGAAGGATGTGCACAAGTTCACTACCAAAGATGAAAACTAAACAGAGACTTTATAGTATGAAAAAGATGTTGGACATGCATTTGGATCCATCTTCTGTTTTTACAAGTCTTTTCCCTTTTTTTATATATGAACTGAAGGGATTTTGGACTGGGAATACTTGGAGGCCCAGCAAATGAACATCAATGCAAATCAGTTCATCTTATTGTTTTATACCGCATTCTATTGCTGATTATTTATTGGTTTTAGAAAGATATGCTAGTGTTATTAATGATGGTTTTGAAAGATGACATGGGGCAGATGTGAAGTCCAAAGTTGGACTCAGTTTCTGGTACCACACACATAAACAGTCACATGGTTAAACGTAGGAGGAATCTGTAGTATTTACAAAATCAGCTTTTAAACAAATGCACTTTATTGAGGCAGATATGGAAGACGCTTGTCTTAGAACATCCGGCAGAAGGTGGAGATCATGATTCTTCATCCTTCTCCAAGATCAGCGTGAGACTCTGGTGTCTTCCCATCTCCATATGTGAAATCATTTGAGAATGAGTGTCTGGAAGGCCCGTGAGCTTCAGGTTGGACGTTGGCGTCACATAAGAGCCTCGTGGTGATTCATCCATAATGCTCAGAATACTTGAGTAGTTGCTTACCTTTTGATTCAGCCGTACTGAAACGTTTTTATGTTCATATTAATACTGTAGCTTTTTTAACCGACGTGCGTGAGCTGTAAATACTTGTACATTCTGCATGCGTGTTTTTATTTTGGAGTGAATGTGAGCGAGCACAGAGTGATTGAAGAAGGTGGATGCTGCCGCCACCATCAACCGCCTCTCAACTTAAGAGCACAAGATTTCCTTGTTTTTAGGGTTTTTTGTTTATTTGTAGAGGCAACAGACACTGACAACTTCCACTGATTCTTCAAGGCCTCACAGAAAGCTCAAGACCTCACTTTGCATGGCAGCTCTTGATTAACGCCCATGAATATCTTGCGTACGGTGAAACATTGACGGTGCAGGATGTGGATGTTGCAGGTAAACGGGATAGAAGCACTGCCAGGCTCTTCTTTTCCCTGTTCATCCACTGTGTTCATGACAGTGTTTATGTAACTGCACTTCCCAGGTGCTGCAGTGGCCAGTTTCTGGATACTGAAGAACTGAAAGCATGAGTAGTCTACTTTCACTTTTATATGTTTTGAACATCTCGCTCCCTCTTTCCTGCACTCTGACACTGTTTTTATTTTTAAAATGGCCCCTCATGAACCTACAAAGCCTTTACTATACAGAAAGAGAAGGCTGATCTGCCGCAAAACCATGCATATCTGTAGTTGTAGGACTTCCTTATCCAGGTCTGAGGAGAACTGTGTACAGATGAACTATTAGAGAAGACTAGTACTGAGCACATGTACCTGTGGAACATTAGAATGTATTTGCCCCTCGTTTAGCACCTTTCCTTTCTGAATAAATGCTTACAACCAGCCTATCACAGCCCGACACGACCACGGCCGATGCTGCCTGAAGGCCCTGCTCCCTTGATTTTCAGTGACAAATGTTGATGTTTTAAATGTTTTAATCAATATGTATTTTACCAAGGGCATCTGTGTTGTCTGAAACTGTAGAAATGCAGTTTTTGTTTATTAAACAGATCAATTTTATCCTGTTATTTGAGTCTCAGATTGTGTTTCACAAACGTGTCGCATACTTATACTGCTGTATTTGAAACAAAAGCAGTATTAAAGTGCAACAAAGGTGAGATACAACTAAACAGGCACAAATATAACAGAACAAAGCAATAAGTAGCAGATACCTAAACTAAACCAAACTACTAAAGTACCAGATTTGGTTTTGCTGCATTAGGCTTAATTTGTTTACATAGAAGCAGTCAATAATCTGGAATTGGCCATCTTTGAAATGCTTCTCGGGCAGCTATTTCAGTCATGCAACTACAGCTCCTATCTCTTTGAATGGGGAAACATTAAATTCTCTAAAAGGGTTCACCAAGTTTAAGATTAAATTTCATATTTGATATCACCAATGAAATCTTGACAAGAACTGCTTCATAAATGTTGTTTCTTATGCTCAAATTGTGTTAATAAAAGTTTTCTTTAGCCTAGACCAGCCAATGCGCATGTGCAGTACCAGAGCCATAGTTGATCTTAAAGGTGAATTACTAAGCCACTAAATGCATTTACTTCAGATCCTGACCCTACAATTGTGTTGTAATCGAAATAATTGTAAATGTAACAACTACAAATGGAAAGTCAAGGTGTGCAAATTAAGTAAAATTTCCAGTTCCCAAGCTAAATGTGGCATTAATTATGTTAATAAAAATAACAATTGGTTCATAGAAATAAAGATATTATATAGGCATATGTCGAGGGGAGTTTCACCCTCTTAACCAATGAGGATATGAATGACATACACATATAGGATCTTTGGCCAAGAACGTGTTTATATAAAATGGCCACATGTACAGAAAAACATGGACATATTAGGAATAGACTTTTGGAGAAAGATGCTGAACTCGCCTCACAGTTCAGCACGAACCCCTTTACACTTGTAGTCCTAGCATTCATCTCCTTATTTGGGCATTTGAACCAAGAAAAGCTAATGTATACATGTGCGCATGCATACCTCGAATATGAGTAAGAGACATTAAAACATCATACAAGAGAGAGAGAGAGAAACAGATAGAGGAGGGGGGATTCAGAGAGAATGCGTTGTATAGGGAACGAGTGAGAGAAGGAGAGAAGAAAAGGAGGGGTGAGGCATATCTGGAACCATTCTCAAGACAGAGAGTGTTTTCTAACATTATAGTAAAGAGTTTTTGTCTGTTTGATTTAACTTTAAAATATAGCTATAAGTTAAAATAAATATCTGTTCTATGACTGCTACTTATTGGCAAACAAAAAGGTGAAGTGAAATCTGTTATCAATAAACAAATATTACAATGATAATTTATTTTTCAACTATTCTCATGCAGTACCGAACCGTGACTCCTGAACCTGGGCCCTCCAGGGGGAGAGATAGTAAACTACCAGCACAGCTTACGGGTTTAAGGTGTCCTTTTCTAAAAGTTATCTTCGACAGTTCCACATTTAGAAATGCAACAAGAAAACAGCACAGCCAGTGTGACAGTTAAAGGTGGGGTAAGCGATTTTTCAAAAAGGCTTTAGAAAACTGATTCGGGCCGACTAGCAAAACAAACTTGTAGCCAATCAGCAGTAAGGGGCGTGTCTATTCATGATGTGGAGGAGAGAGAGCTCAGTGCACAGGACTGACATTAGTGAGCTGAGCTACAGAAAGATAGAGATGGCGGATAAAAAACAAAAGAGGAAAACGTCTGCGGAACAAAAGAAGGCTTAAGGCAATAAGGCAAGAAGTAGAACCCGTGTAAATATCGGATCAGCTTTCCAGCGCTGGAGAGAACTCAAGGAGCGGAAGGCCTGCGATCGGACACCGAGGTTGCTTTGTTTCTTCTCGACAGAGGTGTAGCAGTAGGGCAGGCAATTGCCAAATGTGGGGGCCCCGACAGCTGACCATTTGAACAATCGAAAATGGCATTATTAATATAACGGAGCGATACATCTGCATCCCCCCTAGGGGGCCCCCTCTCGCGTTATGCTGGATGTGCTTGCTTTTGTAAGAAATAGTAATATAATATTCTAATAGTAAGAATCTTCAACTTGGTTCATTCAAGTCCAGGTATTTATTTGCATAGCATCCACAATACACATGGTTTCAAAGCAGCTTCTAGTTAGTTCTGTTACCTCTATAATGGCTTCAATCTTTACACTGAGCAGTTTTACTGGGCAATATGACGATATATAACAATGATAAATGATCCACTGTTTGAGCTCTAGCTATGTATTCTCCCCTTTAAAAAATAGCCATGGTTCTGCTGCTCTGACCAGTGTTTTAGCAGTTAGCCTATATCAGTACCACTGTAGTGAAAGAGACAGAATAATGAATATCTGCAGCCTCTCAGGCAAATCACAGAGCGATTTTATTTATTTAAAGAGATTTACATATTAGTCCGTTTTATTCTAAGTGTATGTAAGATGGTTTAAAAAATATATATTAATAGTAAACGGTCGGCTTTTTCTGTGGTGATTTGCCTGTTTACACTGTGTGCTCCAGAGCGTGACCTAAAACTCTATAGTTTAACTCTATAGGGTTACTGGAAAACAGGTTAGCTAGGATTGCACTTAGCAGCAGCATATTATGTAGTGTTTAGCAAGTATTAAATACTACATTCTTACATACTACATTCATAGTTTGAAGAAAAGTTTAAGAGGACCAAACGGTCCACCTATACTGTTTCAGGAACGATAAACGCGAGTGTAAAAGAAATTACGCGAGTGAATCCGCCAAATTGATCCGCGATTGACGGTGATACCTGTAGAAATGGACGGAACGAACTATCTGACAAGCCGATGTCAAAACAACAGAGCTGTGCTTTAAGTGATGCAGAGTAAAATCAGAGTAACAAAACTTCAGCAGCAACAAGTCTGTGTTGCCTTTGGCAGCTTCTACAGGTCAAGATAACTTAAAGCTCACCTTTGATGTGTCCTTTTTTGGCAATGTTTGAAAAAAAAGCCAAAATATTTAATGCATTCAAACGCGAGTGTAAAAGAAATTACGCGAGTGAATCCGCCAAATTGATCCGCGATTGACGTGATACCTGTAGAAATGGACGGAACGAACTATCTGACAAGCCAATGTCAAAACAACAGAGCTGTGCTTTAAGTGATGCAGAGTAAAATCAGAGTAACAAAACTTCAGCAGCAACAAGTCTGTGTTGCCTTTGGCAGCTTCTACAGGTCAAGATAACTTAAAGCTCACCTTTGATGTGTCCTTTTTTGGCAATGTTTGAAAAAAAAGCCAAAATATTTAATGCATTATTTAATCATTATACCATTAATAATTAACTTAATTTGTAGTTAACTAGTTAAGTATTTAAATAATTTACCATATAGGCTGTTGGTGTCTGGGCCTATTTATTTATTTTTAAATGACATGAGACTTTGTGACTTCCTGCACTTGCTATACTTCATAGCCATTTTATAATAAATCCAAAAGCAAGACGTGAAAAAAACTAGGGAGTTGAAATGGCAACTGAGTTAAAGAGTGATCCTCTGCTGCTATCTACTGGATATAATAGTAATTTATGTCATTTTCATTAAGTCTTTGTTTTCCACCAGGAGACAATTTTTTCATGAATGAAAGTGAACATTTAAAGTGAATTTTTTTTGGCAGAGTTAAATTTTTTTTTATAATAAAGGCTTTAAATTATCATAAGTGTTTAAAAAAATGT